TTAGGTCAAGGGATAATAATTCTAACTAAATTCTTAAACTTATTCAAGATGGCATGGAGTTGAAACACAAAATATACTTATTTTATGATCATTATGTTACAGTAATCAATGCAATTTCGGTACTTACCATACGTTTTATTTTACGCCTTTAAGTTATTTAGTATACAAGATCTAGCATGAGTTTTTGAATATTATTAAAATGTTACTCATTATGTTGTGAATATAATTTAAACATGTGAATTTTTGTGCAAAAAATATGTATATATATAAGTAAAAATAACCATAAAGAGTTTTCTGGATCTGCTAAAATTTCAGTATAAAACAATTGCTAATCTGAATTGTTCAAGCCGTATATTTCCATAATTGAGTTGATAATAAATTTTCTAAACATTTGATCGCTATTAAATATAAATGTTCGGTATTCAATATTATTTTTATTAAAAAAATTTATCATTCAATAAATCAAAAAATTCTTTTTAATCCTTCTATAACGAATAAATGTAGATATTTTCTGTGTTGTGGCACATAAAGATTTAACAAATTAAAATAAAAATTAAAACTGAGAATAATAAAAGTGAGAGTTCAATAGACTGATATCGCTGTGAAAAAAGAAGTGACAGAAAATCTAGATAAAATCTAGATCTTAGTAAATGATTAATAACGAAATAAGTGTATATATAAGGACTCGTAAAAAGTATATATATATATATGAACTACACAAAAGTAGAATGTCAATCTAATGAAATATATAGATTGTAAAACTATATATGGGATAGATTTTCATACACAAAAGTCCCGTTCTAATACGTTATATAATATAAAGTAAACTTATTGCAACAGTATTCAAAATTTAATAGTTTCGGATAAATATTTTTGCATTACAATCCAATGAATTTCAATTTTCATATTAAAGAAATAAAATTTTATGCTAATTATTATGCACACACTATGTGAAATTCTATGATTTGTATAATAATTATTATACATAAAAAAATTGATGCGCGTATATGCGAGTGCATTCTAGTATAATGTTCCTTTTAACTAATCTATATTAATCATTCTCTGTCAAAATCTAATAATATATTTTAGAGATTAAAAATAACATTCATTTACATAAAATAGACAATAAGTTAAATTTCTAACTATCATTATTTAATACTCGAGTTTACTATAAGTTACTTTTAATATATAATATTAAATTTGAACTAATGTTACATACCATTTAAAATTAAATTACATTTAAATTTATGTACAATATTAGCTGACCTCGGTTGGGATCATTAAAAATGCAAAAATTTAAACTGAATTTAATATCATACATTTTTTAATATGTACTGGAAAAAATTAATTTTTACCGAGGATCACCTGCTTTTATATTTTATACCTATAAATATCTACAATGAAAATAATATATTAGTGTTCCTTATTCTAATAATTACTAGTTTTGGAAATAATAATAAAAATAAAATTACTTATTTAACAATAAATATATTATAGAAAATAAAAAGTTCTAAAAAATGAAGTAGCTAAATTAATAAATAAGAGAGATGACAGAAAAATAGTAACATTATACAAATTTACCACGTCTAAATTGTAAAATTGTTAAACTTTGAATAATTTTAATTTTAATAAATTTTAATTCTCTGAAATTAATAAAAGCAAATAAAGTTTTAAACTAATTTTAAAATCATTTATTTGAACAAAAATATTAATCGTTCTTCAATATTTTAAATATGCAACGAAAATAATTTATATATATATATATATATATATATACAATGAAAAAATATTCGAATATATACATTTATAGTTTTTTATTCAAAATTTATTAATCGTTTTTAAGAATATGTGCAAAGTTAATTCAATTGTCGAATAACATTCAAAATAGTTCTTCTAAATATTTAAACTTACAAAGCCCTTTTAATTACATTAAAGCAATTCATTAAGTCTGCAATATAAAGTTTCACAATACACTGCATAAGTATTTTAATTCTAATTTTGAAGATTTGAAAAACAAAATTTTTTAAACATTGGTTGGTCCCAAAGTTATACAAGAATTAAATATATTTTTCAGAATTATATGATGAAATTATTCATTTTTTGATTTACTTAATTATTATAAATTCAAAATTACAGTACAATGTTTACAATTACTTAAATGTAAATTACTTTTAAATCTATGATATAAGTATATAAATGTAGATAGCCCCTAAAACATTTTTATTTTTAATTATGATACTTAATTTTTTTAATAAAACCATTTCAATGGATTGAAATTTATACTCCTACTCCTTTGAATGTTTTGTATACATTTTTTTTATTAGTATTTTATTTTTAATTCTTTTAACAAAAAAATGTTACAAATATAATTTCAAAAAACATTTAAAAAGTTATTTTCAAATGTGTAAAATATAGCATTTTTCTTAAGAACAATATATGCTTTTGTATTATATTAAGTAATAATTTACATTGAATAATTGTGACGAGTACATAAGATATGTATGTTACATTACATGGAAAGACATTTTTAAATGTTCCATAAATATAAAAATATAAATGTACTGTGATCCCACATAAGAACCGTGTATTATTTTTATAATTATATTTTAATTAATAATAATAATAATAATAATAATAATAAGCCTCAGCAACGCTTCATGCCATCTTAAGACTTTATGTAAAAAGATGTTATCGAGCATACAACATTAAAAAACATCCAAGTAAAATTAGTAGCATTTAAGATATAAATTTAATCTAATTCAAATATTAATGTATAGTATTAAATGTTTTAAAATTTCTTATAAACTTCGAGTAAAAAGTGTTATTAACAATTTTCTTAATTTGTTTTTAAATTAATCTCATAGATGTTTTAAGCTTATTTTTAAAACACATTCGGACATTCTAGAAGATTTTGTTTATCATGTATGAAAAGGTTAGTTGTACATTTTCAATTATTAGTTGAAATTTTAATTATTAGTATTATTTTATGAGATTATTTAATGTACTATAATACCATAAAAGTATTTTAATATTCTAATGCACATAGAAAAAATTATACTTTCCAATCAAATTGCGTGTATATTATGTACTATGATTTTTGATTAGACTTTTTATTACATTTGATTTTGATTTTAGTTTTCACAAATTATAAATAAAATGATAAATATTTATTCAAAGAATAATCTTATTACTAATCTCTTTACAATACAATCATTTATAAAATCTGCATTTGGCACTTATGCAGAATCACCTTAAATCAATAAATATTTACTAAACATTTTGGCACACAATTTTATATTAATTAATTCTTTGGTTAAGAAAATAAATGAAAATAAGTCTTTATAACTATACGTAACAAATATTAATTTAAATTGACAAGTGATTATAGAACCATAAAATTGTATTCTATAAGAAAAATTTTATTTTTTGGATGCTAAGTTAATGTCATCGTAATCACACATTCTCATTCCTAGCAGTAATAAATAATACAAATTTTCTATAATCCCTACTTCTCGAAATTGAAATATTATTCTAATCCTAATGTACATACATTTAACATCTGAAAAATAAAAGGCTGATTGTTTTTTATAATATTAAATTACAGACCATGGCAAATTTTATAATTATAAAAGAAGCAAATATTTATCTTGGAGTCAATACGATCAACATCAAAATTTATGTTAAAAAACATAAATTCCATATAAATATACTAAATAAATAATTTATATACTAAATATACTAAATAAATAATCTAACATCATTAAACTGTTGTAAAAAATTAAAAATTTTTTAAATCAATCCATAAATTATTCAATAGGTAATAAAATTAAAAATTTATATTTTACAAAAGTTCCAAATATAAATGTGTAATTTAAATTAATATGAATGAGTTACAGAAAATAAAAATATTTGTAAAAATTAGTTAACTTAGTTTTATTTAACAACAAAAAATATAAATAATTTGTTGAAATATTTTTGTATAATTTATTTATACAACTAATAATTATTGCACTATTCAATTTCATTTTTGTACATATAAAGATTTTCATATTTTAAAGATTTTATCTTTTTATGAAAAAAATAAACGTGTAGTTAAAAAATCACAAATTTTTCCTATAAATATTCGATAAAAAATCTATTATAAAATAGAAAATATAAATAAATGTAATTATATGTAGAAATATTATGTTTTATAATTCAACTATTTAATGCATAAAAATAAGTTTCGATATTTTACAGCAGTTTAACGAGTATTTGTTATTTTCTGTTTAATTTTCTAAATCACTGCTGCATATAACACTGGTGTTCATTTCTCTCCAGTAAATTTGAAAATAAAATTATTACATTACACTGTTATTATATATATATATTTTTTTTTTTTTGCAATTTGTATTTAATAAAATGTAATAAATGACTAGAGAACATTTTATATTAAAATATAAACAAAAATATTCTTATAACCTTAATAAAAAAAAGGTACATTAATTTAATGGAGTGTGCAACTTCTCAAATTTAATTGACCAATGCAATTTAATATCAAACAATTAAATCATATTTCATTTAACTTCTCCATTTGAAGAAATGAACACAGCTTTAGCTCAGTAAAATATAAAAAAAAACATAACTACTTATATACTTGATATGCTGTGCGGATGGTGACTAGATAAACAAAATTAATATCAATAATGGTATTACCGTGTAAACACTAGTATGTCTGCTAGACATAATATATAGCAAGTTAGTTACTTGATTCTAATAACTAATTTACTAATTTCATGTAATTCATTAAAATTTCGTATTTAACATGATTTCTCACATATTGCAAAGAATATTATGATTATGGCATCAATATTTACCTGTTACCAAATAAATAAAATAATATTTTACAATAAAAATATATCCTTAATACAATTATCGCAAATTTCTATATAATAATATTTGTAATTGTAAATATAAATAAAAAATTAAATAAAGATACGTAAGAAAATGCTTCAGGCAAAAAGGGTATCACGATCGTCTGTCATGTATACAAATTTGACAATGAACTTTTGAGTTATAAATAAATACAGAAAACTATAAGACATTGATAATTGTATACACTAATAATATCCAGAATAATGGTATCCTGACCTGGACGTATGATAAGGACTAGGTCCTACAGGATAAGCTGTATTATAAGCAGGCATTGACGGCGGAGGTGGGGATAAAATGCGAGACTCCAGACTTTCTGGTACTAAATGAGAAGTCATAGAACTCGCAGGTTGAGGACTGGTAATTATTCGTGAGACTGACGTGTGTAAATGATGAGATCTTGATGCCGATTCTAAACTAGCTACTCTTGGCACATCAACATGAGAATAAGGAGGATAAGGAGAGGGATAAGTTGGTGGAGACATACAGGAAGCTGTTCTACTCAAATCAACACCTTGACGCTCTCGCTCGCTCATTTCATATAGATGATGACGATGGTGATGATGATGATGATGGTGATGATGAGCGCTGGTTTGTATTTGGGATTCAAAAGCTTGTTGAAATCCCCTAGCTGACATATCTAAGCCCTGATCTCCCGCAGGTTGCACAACAAAATGTTCGAATCTCGCCCGGTCTCTATTAACCAAAGCAAATTCACTTTCAAGACCATCATACTTGGCTAATTCAAGTTGCTGCATGCTCTTTTCCTTCATGGGTAGGCTCAAATTTTGAGCAACAGAATCACCTTCATCACCCGATAACGATTCTGGTTGCAAATGTGGCTGAGGGTGTGAATGTGAAAGGTTTTGTTGATATCGTGAAGGAGATGTTAAATCTTGATTAATGTGAATGACGCGTTGAATGTCTTGTTCAAGATATTGTTCAATACTGTGCGATCTATTAGCCGCGCTTACATAATCGAGTGGCCTATGTATATGGTAGTCTAGATGCAAATGGCTGGGAGGTGTATGTGTAGCTCTAGTCTGGGTAGTGCTCTGTTCATCTTGAATATATGTGTCGAGATGTGTTTCGGGCGAGTTTTGTACAACTTGATGTTCATTCTGTGCACAGTTAGTTTTAAAATCAAGATCACTTGAAATGGAATATAAATTAGACTCGCGATCATTTTCCTCTAATATTGGACTAGATACAGCTCCGATTTCTCTTTCAGCAGCATCAAGAGCAGCTTCGACAAGGAGACTAGCACTCGCACTTTCGGTTCTTCTATACATACTTATACCAAGTTTTGGTTCGTCTATAAATGTTGAATTCGACGATTGAATCTTTGTCTCGTCTCGTCTATTTTCATGAAAGTCGTATATATCTGCTGCTAACGTAGACGGTGGTGTATCTGTTGCTGGGTCAAATTCAGTTATCCATTTTTTATTAGTTTTATTTAATTCTAATGGCTGACCATATATATCAGCATCCGACTCAGCACTTTCCACTGCTGAATCTCTGGTAATTACAGTTGATATTTGGTTATGCGATTCTACATTAACCTGTTGTTGTTTATTACAAGATGTACTACTATTACTACTACTACTATTACTTCTGCACGGTAATTCGGCGATCGATGATGCATTATTATTTTCGCTACTACAGTCGTCGAATGATGCTAAACTATCGCTGTTATCCTGTTATTAAAAGAGTTTTTCGTTAAACAATATATATAATTCCTATTATGCATAATTAATTTATCCATATCCTCTTTTATGTTCTTACCTGTGAGTTACCAGCATTGAATTTGGGGCTTTTCCCTCTACCAAGATCTTCTACTAAACCACCACTATAGGCATCAAATGTGTAGGCTACTGAACGTTCAATTTTTGGCATCATTTCTTCACTAAGGCCATGTACTTTTTTATAATGAAATTGTAGGCACTGTTTTGTCGTGAAAGCTGCTTTACAACCATTTTCCTTACATCTGTCATATATAAATAAATATATAAAACATATGGTACTAATAATAGATTATTATTCAGTATAATTGTTAATTTAAAAAAATATATCTTACTTGAAAGGTTTAACTCCGCTGTGGGTCAACATATGTATTTTTAAATTACTTTTATTTTGAAACATCTTACCACAACGGTCACAAGTAGCCGCTCCAACAACATCTTTATGATGAACTTCTTTCATATGTCGTTGAAGAGCAGCACGAGAACCAAGTAGTTTTAAACAAAGTTTGCATTGGAATTCTCGCAATACTTCTGACATATCTGAAAATCAATTTTACAATAAATATGTTGAGATTTTATTAATTTTATTTAAAAGCAAAATATAATTACCACTGTGCATTCTTTTGATATGAACTTTAAGTTTTTGTGGTTGGCAAAACTTTCGTCCACAAAAATCGCATAATGGCCTAGATCTCTGAGGATTTTGTGAACAACCATATGTTCTATGCATTTCAAGATAATTAAGTCTTAAAAAGAATTTTTTACAATACTGACATTGATATGCACCACGTCCTGCATGGAGTTGAGCTGCATGTTTCATAATATTGTCTTTTCCCAAAACAGCTGCACCACATATCTACACAAAGCAAATTGTATAATAATAATAATAATAATAAAAATAATAATAATAATAATAATAATAATAACAACAATAATAAGGATAATAATGGTAATAATGATAACAATAATGGAGCTTATTATTAAAAGGCAGATATTAACTTTGCAATGATATTTTCTTATGGTAAGACTGTAATTTGTATCATGGAAGATGCAACAATGTAAGCGATAATAGATTGGATGTATAAAATTTAAATTACATCCGCCACAATCTGAAATTAAAAATGAATTGTATTTTAATACTTTATAAAGATTATTTAAAAAATAAAATAAATTGATTCAATAAAAAATTTAACCAATTTTCCTTATTCGCATTTAGTTTTTCATATGAATTCTTACTTGTTTTATCTATTTTATTTTTTCGAGTCCAAGTTGTTGATTGCGAATCTGACCAATATGTCAACTCTGTTCCTGCAATTAGACTTTTGCTTGTAACTAAAAAGAGTTCTCCATTTTTAGTAATGACAGTTACATTTCTGTTATCTTTAGTTTCAGCTGGTCTGACATAACGAATCCAATTACTAGTCAATGGGTTAGTAGTGCTAATGTACAATGTTTTATTATTAAGATCAATCTGAAATTAATGATAGTAATATAAGCAAATTAATAAATAATAATAAATTAACAATATATTTAAATATAAATAATAAATAGTTTTATACCTCCCAAATATGTCTCATTGAAAAATCATCAGGAATGTCCATTTCTTGAACAGGTTTACCAATTAGAGGTCCTAATTGTGCATACATGGGAACAACACTTTTTACAAATACTCCAAGACCATGATCCATATTTGATAATTTAAGTTCTAAACATTCAGGCAAAGAATCTCTTGCGTAAAGTGGTCTACTTGTATCAATGCTTTGTTGTTTTTCTTCACAATCTGTTTTCATTTTTGATTTGTATAGTTCTGATGATTCTTCTTCAGAATCAAAACCATCATCTGTATGTCTGCCATAGCCTTGAGTCATAGGATCATTAGAATTGAAAGCTTTCATTACTTCCAAATTGTTATTATACTGTTTTATCCAATCTTCAAGTGATATTGAATCTTTAATTGTATATTTGGGTTCTTGTAAAGGACAAGCATCTTGTAAATGTCGACTGTTGCATTCTTGACATAATTTTATTTTAATAGCTAATCTTGGTGGTTCTGTACCATTATTTTCATTTCCTTCTGATAATAATGTGTTATTACATAACGAATTATCAACAGCTGGAATTGGCCTTACATCCTTTGGACAAGTAACTTTATCTTGACAATCATCTGCAATTATTAATCCATTCTGTGGGGCTTTACGAACATCACGATGTTTTTTCATTTGATCTCCTTTATTTTTCTTCTTATCACGCTTTTGTACTGGTATTACTTCATCAGAATAAGATTTATCTAGCCCTACTAGCATAATAGAAGATTCATTCGATTCATGTTTTGAACGCTTTTTTTTTTTATTTTGATTTTCACTGTTAGAAACTTGTGGACTTTCTATACCTTTTTGATACAGTGTAATCTTCTCTGACTGGATAGTTGAAGGTTCACTTGACTCTACAGAATCTACTATTGATTTTACAGAGCCATTTGAATTATTTTCTGCTTTTAAAATTTGTGTATTAGCATTTTCTACCACATTTAATTCTAATTGCTTTTGAGGATATTGTGTATTCAAAAAATTTTGATTAACGGATATGTCAATTTTATTACTCTCTGGACAAATAACGTGAGTGGCATTGGTACATGTTTGCATAGGTAGTACTTTATTCAAATTTGTAGAATTAGATTTTTTTTCTAATGCTTGTGATAGATTATGTTCCGCTAAGTTATTAGGGCTTTTCTCTGAATCAATATCTGAATCAAATTCCCAAGGAACATCTTCTTTCACCCTATTATCTAAAATAGGAATTACGTCCTTTGAATTTTTTACTTTTTGATGTTTTCTTTTTTTGCGCTTTTCTTTATGATGTCTTGCTTTATTTTTATGACGTTTTGTTTTACTAATACGAGAACCAGATTTTGAGCAAGACTTTGTATCTTGAGATATTTTATCTAAATTATTTGATAAGCTTATCAATCTGTCAACCTTTTCACACTTCTCTTTTTTTGCAGATTCTTCTAAAATTGCAAGTTTTCTCATGCTTCTTCTTGGTAGTTCTGTACGCAAAACTTCATGATTAACATTTTCATTTTCTGCAATACTCAATCTTTCTTTATCTTGCACACATTGTATTTTCCACGCTTCAATGTTTTCACGACAATTGTCTTCTCTACTGTAAAGGAGAAAATCCATTTAAAAACATCCAAATACTTAAAAGCAAACTGTAGAAGTAGTAGTTAAACATATTATAAAATATCTACTACTTGTTTTACTTACCGTGCAGCAATCGAGTCAGCAAGATCGAGTAAATAAACAACAAGATCATCGTCTGTGAGAAGACCAAGACGCTTTTTTAAGGAAAACCAACGCCGGCCGTTTCTTGGACCGATATGTACGCTACGATGATGTTTTATTTTTTCTGTTACTTCAATTTCAGCTGAAGATGTTGAATCGCGCAAATGTGCATATTTTACAGTCTTTTTCGGCATAGCTACATACCCTGACGTTCCAGCATAAAATGCTCACTATAATTTGATACGAATGCTTGCGATATTAACAGTATAACAGTATAAGTTTAACAAAATTGATTATGGCTTAATATCTGTCTACCTTAAATTTTCAATTAACAAGCAATGACAAGTTGCCGACAACGTAGCTACAGATACAACGTCAAACTGAGTAAATCAAAAAGGTAATTTTAATTCAAAACTACTATGGAGTACAGCTCCGTTGATATTCTGATATTTCTTTTATTCTGTTTGTCCTAATATCTATATATGCATCTCTACAAATCTATTTATCTATGCATTAATCTATGTATCTATTTATCTCATGGACCTGGTAATAATTTTAAACATTAAATCTTAAATGTAGCCGCGAGAAATTTTTAATCTCATCTGTGAATATGTTCCATTCAAATTAATTATTTTAGTTAAATAAAAAAAATAATAATTTTACAAACTCTACGACATTGTCCAATTTAAGATTTCACTTACAATGCATTTAATATATGTATATAATTAACCTCGGAAATGTAAGTTACGCTGTCATACAATAGTATTAAACTATTATAATTTCCCAAATTTAGTCAAAAAATCAGCCAATTAAAATTGCCAAAGATACAAATCTATTGTCTCCATAATACTTGAATTCTTGGGAACCAAATTTGAAACGTATTTTTAATATATATCATTTGAAAATAGATTAACTTTATATTTTTATTTTTATTTACAATTTTGACTATATACAATATTTAGGAATAATAATGAAAGTTAATTTTACGAATTTCAATTCAAATTCAGATAATTTTATCCCTTTTTTAATAAATATAAAGCAACACAACCCTAAATTTTAGTTGTCTTTTAGTCTCAAATAACACTCGCAGAGGCATTGCTGAAAACCAGCGGGAAAATTTAAAATATAAATTTTATATGCCTTATTTTATGACGTATGTATAATTATTAATTCTTATTAAAACAAAGAAATTTTATGTCTTAATGTTATGCTTAAACTACTTTCAGTTTTATTTTATAGAAAAATAGAAAGAAAGAAAGGCACCCAAATTGGTAGATTTATTAAATATAAATGGATATTAATTAGTGATAAATTAAATTAATTATGACAATAGAATCATCATAAAACTATTATATATACAAAAATCACTCTAAATCAATTTAAAATATATATATTTCATAGAAACGAGTTTTAATATGGATATTAACTCCAAGCTTAATAAAAAAGAATTATCAATTAACGCAAATATTAAAATTATTAATCATACTATTGAATTCTCTTACATATTAATGTCTCTTAAATTAGATATTCTCTTATATATTAAATTTTTAGTTTTCTTCAATTTATTATTACCTGTTAAAACTCTGTAATAATCCATAAATATCAATTCATAATTTCTGCTTAGACAATTTTGAGAACAAACAACATCAATAATGTCTGACGAATCTGATATTTTAAATGTTTTCAGTAGAATATCCAAGGGATTAAAAATGTATCCTTATTATTTATTACTTATGCTTAATTTAGATCGTTTAAATAATTGATGAAAACAGTTTTAAATGTTTATATGTAAATTTGATTCTGTTTGGAGAAAATTCTTTTTAGTTTATAGAAAATTGTTTTTCTTAAGGACGTACATTACAATATTCGTTTCAACTTATATTAATTTAAGAACGTTTAATCAAAACCTGGCATATTTCTATCATGCCTATTATAAAATATTTAAATCTTTGGGGATACTTATAAGTTACAATCATATTAACAAATTATGAATTTCAAATTTTTTTTTTGTTTTAGCCACTGTCTTTCAAAAACATCGAAATGTTAAAAAGATTTTTGAACATTTTTAATCTTTGAGATTATTGTGCCAATTTTAAATTGCCTTCTTCGATAACAATAGAAAAATATTTGGACAGTTTTTTTTTAACTTTTAAGAACGGGGCTGCTAACAAAAATTTTGATAAGAAGAATTAGGACAATCTTTTACATTGTACTCACACGTGGGAAATCAATTTTCAGAAATCAAACTATTTTATGTTTGGAGAATTTAACGATGACAAGTAGTACTAATACGTAAGTACTAATCATCCTTACTTCATAATGTATTCAAAATTAATCTTGCTGAATTTCAATTTTATACATAATAACTTAATTACGTTTCAAAAATGGACAAAACTTCATTGATATCTGAAATCATCAATTTATCTTCAATATTACTCTAATAAATCTGATTAAAATAGTAACGAAAATATATAACCATCTTTAAAAATAAGAAAAAAAAATTTTTTCAAATCAATTTTTCACCGCAACTTCTTTTTTATAGATGAATTAATATTCAGTGGCTCAGAGAACTTATGTAATAATAACTTCAAATTTATTAACCAAATAATTTTATCTAATACTTGCTGGCGTATGTATTATGGTATTAATATTCAAACTTAATAATCTAAAAGATCTCATTTCTTAAATGTAAATGATACGTGCTTCTTAATCAATTATTTATTAAATACAGAATGTTTTCTGTATTTAATTTGTTTATGTAAATTTGTGCTTAATGCACAAGAACTATATATTTTGAAACATAATCTATTGTATAATTTTAATGAACACTATATCAAAATATAAATGACATTGATAAAATTCTCCATATTTATAAATTTTCATTGCATCTTGTTTTCGACTCCAATGTTTGTTCTTAAAAAATATAAAAATAAAACAATACGATAATACTTTTACGCATAAAATTAAACATAATTATTAATTCCTTACAATTTCATCTGCAGTACTATTTGAAAAAAAAAGACATAATAAATGATAAATATTAAATGGCAAATGATGAATGATAAATTGTGAATGTTTAATGATGAAACAGAAATAATCAATAAACATTAAAATTTCTAATATACTTTAAAAGATCAAAATATCAAGACTGCATATGTTGTATTAAAAAATAAAATTATTTTTACTTAACTAGAGAAAAAATTATATTACATGTAGTTATCACTGATATTTCCTTATAATGGGATAATATTTTCTATAAGAAAAAAAACCTTAATATAGTTAAATTTATTTGATATGCGATTTGTGTAAGTGAAAAATCAAACGATAAAACTTTCTTATAATTGTTCAATAAAACGTTATTTTGAAAAATATTATTAAACAATTAAATTATAAATATAAACGCGAGTTTTATAAATTAAATTTAAATGCATCCATATTTCAATCAGTATTCAATTCTACTTATGTTTTATTCTACTTTCTGCATTATTTTTCTGTTAATAGCTCGCGCTTCTCTGAATTGCTACGTAATTCGTTCTGGAATATTCTTCAATTATATATCAGCCACAAAACAAAATGTAAAATAACAATGCATTTCTTTAATTGACCTAAAGAATGTGTTATTAAAGTTAAAAAAGATAAAAAAAAATTACACAAATATTATTAAAATATTGAACTTCTTTGAAATCAGAAAGTAATTACATTGTCACCATAATTTCTTTCAAATTTGTGAATTAAATTTTATTCATACAAATGGTGAGTGTTTAAAAATGATTAAAAAAAAAATTATAAACTGTTCCAAAATTAATTCAATAACAAAATTTTCATTGACTTCATCTTTGAAAAAAAAAGACAATGTAGTTCATTTGAAGAATTAGATAATTGGCAACAATTCACTCGTGATGACTGTAACGAATTGTATATTTCAATTTGTCCTTAAATAAAGTTATAATTAAAAGAGTGACAAAGATTATTTTTCTAATAATTGAAATCGCATCACGATCATGACACAATACACTAATTTCACTTGAATAATATTTTATAAGTAATTAACACATTTTCTATTTTCATCAATAATTAATCAATATATAATAATCATGATCTTACAGTCCAATAGTACTGAATCTGCTGTAATCAATTCTATATTCTGATTATTATTTTATTTGCTATGTAGTGATAAATTCACGTTTTCACAACATATTCATAAAACTGCAAAAAATTGTTTAGATTATAATAATATATATAAAAAAATTGCCTCAGTGAAATGAAAACAAAACGAAAGCGACAATAATTTCTACTATACTATTCAACAATTGATACGAAATACGAAATAACAATTTAATCAGAATGTTTATAATATTACTAAAATTTTGTCTTTTTTAATTGGGAATATCTTAATCAAATATGATTGCTCAATAACAAAAAATTTATCTCACAGAAAGATAGAAATTATTTAAATTTGGTCATAAATGAAACTTGTTATGTTATAAAGTTATTCCATACTGAGTCTTAATATGTATATTATTTATATTGCAACAAGGAATATTTATATATTTCCATTTAATTAGTGATAGACTCGTTTATAATAAAATATTGTAAACAAATTCATAGAAGTATACAATTTCAGATAAAAATTTATATATAATGAAAGTAATTATTAATTAAAACGCCATTTTATAATTCTTTTATATCTGAGGATATCATGATAAAATGAAATTTCATTTAGAGACTTTTATTGATTATTTAATGTTATTGCAAGTTTGTAATCAATAACTGAAATTATACTAAATTCATTCTGCAAAGGCTAATCTTAAAAGTGAAAATATTTAAATAAAAATGTATAAAACGGAATAAAATCATTTTTATATATTTTAATGTATATTTTTTGAAGTTTTAATAAATCGATTATGTTTAATAACGATTTTTACAATGTAATTATAAAATTATACAAATGAAAAGTTATATTAAGAAAAATTATACAAATCAACATCATAAAATTTAAAGTGTATTAAACTAATCACATTATGTAAACAGTCATAGAAATGTAATTAAAAATAAAAATTCCATATTCAATCTTATTACCTTTATGTTTATTACTACATATATAGTAATCAAATTAATTCTTTAAAAATTATTATTTTAAAATGTTGTAGTCCTAATGTATAAGTTCTATAAAAATATATTATAATTTTGGTGACAATATATGTATATATGTATATATATATATTTCTTTTTTTTTAATAAACTTACTAAAATTTGAATTTAGAAATTTTCGTTTAAAAAACTATTTATTGAAAAAAGTATATAATAATGAATTATATATAGAATTTAGAAGAATGCATATTTTCTTAATAAAAAGGATATTATAAATTAAATTTTTTTTTGTATTTTATTAATTCTATAATAACTTAGAAAATAATAGATGTAATGTGACGAATAGAATTATACTTTAAAATAATAATACTTAATTTATATTGAAAATGCAGAAATAGTGTATTACTACAAAAAGTTGTATTATATGTATAGTAATGGGACTTTTATCCGTACAATTTTATTTAAATATTAATTAAATGAAAATTTAATTAATTTATGAAACATTTTTATAATTAAACAATTTCTTGATGAAATAATTTTATGCTTTACTTGAGAATTTAAAAAATAAAATATTTATAAATCATTTCACTGAAAAAGTTCTAATTTAAAATCTTTAATCAATTAATTTCAATTTTCATTTTCGTAACTCATTGTTAAATAAACTTTTTTAAATATTTATGTTAAATAATTAATAATTGTTTATATTTTAAATATAATATTTAAAATAAAGAATAAATAATTCATTAAATATAAACATAATGACACGAAAATTGGGTAATAAAATAAAATTAAAAATTTTTTTATTAAATGTTCAATTAAAACTTAATATTCTCTTGTATCATGAATTTGTAAAATGAATCACAATTTTACCTGAAAAAGTATTTTATTACATGTAAAGAAAATGCAACGGAAAATAATATACACAGATCACTAAACATATCTCTTTCTCTCTCTCTCTCTCTCTCTATATATATATATATATATATATATATAAAAGTGAAAATCAATATCTTATGTTAAAAAATACATTATTTAATGATTAGTAATTCATTTTTAATAAATTACTCCATAGGTTAAAAATAATTGAATAATTGGTCATCTTCTTTATTATTATTTTCTTCATAAATATTAAAAATTAATATGATAATAAGAAAAATTTGTATAATTACTTTGATATTATATTCTAGAAAATTTTATAATAATAATAATAAATTAATAGAAAATATTAATATTGTGTACATAATTATAAATATCTATATTAATTATACGTTCTTTTCTGACTCAACGTTTTAATAATGCACATATAAAATATAAATAAAAATTAAAATAATATGACTTGTCAATAAATATATAGAGATACTGAAACATATATCTCTACTTTTACATTTTCATTTTTGTACAATAAGCTAGGCATTATTATTGTTCAAACTGTAAATACGTTTAACAAAAGATTTTTCAAAATTTAAGAAGTTTCAGTCTGAAAATTTCATAACTTTACTTCGCCTTGCAATTTTTCTTGCAAAGTTTTTATTACCGATGGTTGAAAGTGAATGTTGCTTTCGAGCCAAAAGATCAGTCAATTCATAAGTATAATCATTATCATATTCTTGTAAATCATTAGTTTTATTGGCTATAATTTTATTTTTATTTTTTTTGTATTTATCTGCTTGATTATTTGATTTATTATGACCATCTTTTAAAAAAGCATCAATTACGGCTTCTTCTTCATTGTCTTCTTCATCTTCTACTTCTGTTTCATCATCATTATCATCGTCTTCTTCATAATCAACTTCATCTACAACTGGTACTTCATCACTATCTACATGTTTATCAGTATTATTGTTATCTTCTTTTTCATTTTGTATACTGCTAATTATTTTCGTCTTATTATTTTCATCATTTTCATTACTTTCATACTCTTGACTAGAATCAAAATCGTAATCATTATCTGGATCATCATTAGAACTTTGATAAGTTTGTTGTAATTTTATAATATTGTTATTAATAGTGTTGACATTTTGTGAAGTGCCACTAATAATTTTTTTATTTGTAGTTTTTGATTTTATTTTCTTAATTTTAATATTATCTAAGTTATTTATATCGTTTTCTTCAGAAATATTATTTGATTCAGTGATAGCACTGCCAGTAATATACGTAGTACTATCATAAATAGTTTTTTCTGTGTTTTCTTTTAATATTTCTTTTAATGGATAATAAGTAGTTTCAATATTGGAATCATTAGATAAATTTATGACAGTAAAATTAGTTTTGTAGTGTAAATTTGACGTTGATGTATCCAGTGGTCGAGAGGATGAAGTAATAATAGATGAAACGATAGGCTCAATCGTAGCAATAGTAGAAATTGGATTTTTACTTACAGGAGATTCAGTAATAGTATGTACCACAGTTGATGCTAATGGCAAAATTGGTATAATGAAAGAATTTGGCGATTGTGTTGAAGTCACTTTAATTTTTTTATCACGAGAAGAATCATCTTCACCAGTAAAAATATCAAAAAGGGCCCCAAAACCTAAAAGATCATCTTCGTCCTCTTCTTCTTGTTCAAGAGCTTGGTTTTTATTACTTGAGATGCCAAAAACTACATTGTTTTCAGGATTTATTTTTTCATAATCTTCATCATCATCATCATCATCTTCGTCATCACTTAAACCAAAGATGTCATCGTAATCATCATCAGAGGCAGACTCAATAATAGTAGCTGGTAATGGTTCAGCTGGTCGTAGTTTCAGACCATCGGGGCCAAAACTATAAAAGTATTACATTAATTTTTATATTATTTATAATTAAGTTAAGTTGGAGTCGTGTAATATTAATTATGGTACCGAAAACAGCTCACTCGTAGACTTGCTTCCAGTTCAGTGACGGATCTTAATTCAAGTCCAAGACAAGCTTTAAAATGTTTATCAGCATCTCTTTTAATAGAATAAATTTTACCACAAAATTTTGAGAAACCACCTGGTAAAGTAACGCAAACAGGCTTTGGATTCTTACCTGATAAAATTAATAGACAATTAAAATAATAAATTATTAAAATATTATAAATTTAAACACATTACCATTAATTATGTTACTAGATAATATATTATCCCCGATGTTTAATTGCATAGCTAATTTGTCATCTTGAAGATACTGTAATGAGGCACAGCCTGAAAATATAATTAATTAGCATAATTCAATATCAAAAATAAAATATATCATTATAAATATATGTTTAAAAATAATGTTACCGGGTCCTGATAATTGTACAAGTGGAATATGAAAATCTCTGCAACAGTTGCAAATATTTTCGTTGCAAGTACAATATTTGTTAACATTTTCAGTTGCTTGTTTTAATGATGTAGAGCTATTAACTGAGCTGATTTTTGTATCAATAGCGTGAATATTGCGTTCTGAAAATAGTGATTAAGGATGATACTAAATAAAAGCCGATTCGTTGAAAATTTAATACTCCAATTACATATATTAATCAACGATTGGATGTAAATACAAAACTTACCGATGACTCTTCCGTAAGCAGCGAAAGCTACAAGTAAGAATATGAGCAAAAGCTCAAGTATTGTCGACAAGCGCATTTTACAATTGAAGCAGACAGGACTACCAGCTAGTGAACTGCTTGACCTAGATGACTCAGCTTCCGAATGTAGCTCTAATGCGAATCCTCTTTCAGAGACGAAGGCCGACTGACTGGCAACTAGCCGCACTGCTAACTACTGACTGTTCTCCTTTCATCCATTCACCTATTCATTGACTTACTCGACTTCATTTCCTCAACTCTCTCTCTCTCTCTCTCTCTCTCTCTCTCTCCCTCGCTCTCTCTCTGCCTCCCTCCCCTCTCTCTCTCTCTCTCTCTATGTGTGTGTGTCTGTCTCCGTCTCTGTCTCTCTTTCTCTTTCAGTTTATTACACGCAGTGGTAAATCTGGGGACAGAAGAGAAAGTAGCGATCCTTCGGTCGAGTAGCGGGCGCAGTAGCGGATTAACGGGACCTTTGGAAAGTGGCACTCACACTCATTGGGGATCGGGGTCAGCGGGTTAGTAGAACTGCTCGGTACCGAGTCCGTTCTCGCGGCACTCCGCACTCGGAGAGCAGACTCCGCAGCGTTGACTTGGACCTGGGTCCCGATGGCGCGCAGTCGAGTAATGAGTCTGCTGTCACTGTTGTTGGCAATGTTATTCGTAGCACCTGCGATAGCTGAATCCAAGTGCCTCTGCCAGGTTTCAGGCTGCCTTTGTTGCGTTGAACTTAATCTTACTACATCAATCGATCTAGGAGGACCTGCTTGCATTAATGTGCATCAAAACGAACGTAACGTTTCTCTCAACTTGAGTTACGCAGACAATTCCTTACACAATGCAACTATTGCCCTGGGTAAGCAAAATCATTAAGAGTCAATCGATTTACTTTATGCGAAACTTTATTTCTATACATAATTAAATTAGCTGGAATTAAAATGCTTATTTGTTATCTATTTGACGACCTTACAATTAAAGAATATTTAACTACTTTAATTTTATATTTACTTCAAGTTATTTTTTCAAGTGATTAACTTTCGCCAGTGCAATATTGTTTTCTTTTATTTATAACTGATGTATATATTCTTTACAGATAATGCTGCTCATAAGCCGACCTGCATGAATTTGCTTTCTGATTTGGCACAAATCTGTGCTGAATTTATTTCCATGAAAGTACCAAGTCAAGAAGAACATTCTTATCAGGGCTGTCTTATTATACAACCTGCTTTATTAGGTACACCACAGGCAACATATCCTGTGGGTTGCTTCACTTTCGACCGAGGTCAAGTGCGACTAGTTGAAAATACTACCATGTAAGTTAGTTCATCAGCTCTCTCTCTCTCTCTCTCTCTCTCTCTCTCTCTCCAACTCCCTCCTACTCACTCCTACTCCTTCCTACTCACTCACTCTCTTCCTCTTCACCACTTTTCAAGCTTTCTTTATTTTGCTTTTTTCCTCCTCATACTATCCCTACTTTCCATTGCCTGAAATATTATACTGCACAGAAATACGAGATTACTTATTTTAAATAATTAAACGTCATTATATTTATGTTTTATTGCTTCACCGCTTTTATATCATATACCCAAAATATTACATATATGCGTAAATATATATCCTTACTTACACAAGAAATTAAATTACGGAATTTAACATCTTATTATGATTATTATTAAATAGATATTATAAAGTAGTGTTAAACAACTAAAATATATAATAAATTTTATTTTAATATATTTACATTGAATATTTTTATATTCAAATTATTACCATTTACTCGTAATTTACTTAAAGATTTTTAATATTACGGCTACAATAATAATAAATATTCATTACCTCATTAATACAATTCATTTTTCGCTGACTATTGTGACAGTAATATTTTTAAATAAATATTTTGAAAATATAACATATTTAGCAAAATATAAAAACTTAATATAATTATTTAATTATTATAATACAAAGCTAATATTTAGCTTAAATTTATTCAATACTTTTATAATAAAAGTTTTATGGTTATTATTCGCAAGTAAATAAATGTAAGCATTTTTTAAGTTGTCGACATATAATAAGCATCGGATTGTAATATTTATATTTTTGTAATTTCTCAAATATTATTTTCTATGATATAACTATGAAATTTTATTATATAGAAATACATATAATTTTGCATATTTCTAATTTTCTCGTATGTTCAAATATTATTCAAATTTTTAATTTTTAATAATCTTTAAACTGTTACAATTCGCAGTATTATATATATATTTTTTTTTATATAATCAATTGTTATAGTGAAAAATAAGAATTATTAATACAGAAGATTAATTTAAAGTTATGAATGATATTTATTAATACCCATTATTTTTAATTTTATTAAAATTATATGGCTTTCCAATATTGAAATATCTCAATATTTATTAAAACAAACATTAATTTTAAAAGATATAGTTTTTCTTATTTTGTATCTTTATACCTCAAAGATGTTATTATAAAATTCATAAAATTACTGAACTTACTTTTGTTGAATTTTGAATCTTCTAAAATTATCTTTTGTTCTATTTAAATTAAATTATTACAAAAAATAATTTATAAAGAAAGTTATTGCGAAATTAATTATATTCGAATTATTTCGTAATTGTTTTTGATTGTCATTTGAATACCACTAAATTGTCACAGATCTTTGTACTATATATTTGTATTAAAAGTTGATTTTATCATTTCTTTCAATTTTTAATATTATTACTGAAACAATACAGCCTAATAATTATAAGAAATAATCTATATTTTAGAATTTTTTTTCATGCAACAAAAAATAATAATATTATACTTTTTTCATATATTTTAATAAAAAATATTCTCACTTGCATAAACATCACTAATTGCAAATGTTGTATTAAATAATGAATTTGATTAGCTTACCTTTGGAAATAATTATAATATATAAAATTTTATACCTTTTTCAATACATTGTATTAAATATTTTAAGTGTGATTGAAAATTTATATCTTTTTGTAGTTTTAATTTTCATTGAAGCTCAAAATGCAATTGAGAATAATACAATAAATACCGACACCCTTATCTTCGAAATATGATCATGTAGTGTATAATAAATTTGTTTTACATATATTTACTTTAAATTTTATAATATATAAGATTATAATAAAAAAATAATTAAGTGCGATAAAACTCTTTTTATATTTTTTAATAAAAAATAAATATCTTGTATTACTAGATGCTTTTTGTTATTTTTAATATTCACTATATTAAGACAATAAAAATAATGGAAATATACATATACACAAATTAATTTATATTTCATAAAAATTACAATATTAAACTATCGCATCAGAATATCTATGAACTCTTTTGCGAGTAGGATAATAATAAATTTATAAACTTATTTATAAAAATTTATTTATACTACGTATATAGTACGTTATATTATTTCTAAGTTTAAATTATTGTGATAATAAAGCATACGGCAATGTTTCAAATTATTCTGAATAATCGTCTGAATAATAGCAACAACTAAAATATATTCCATATAAGTAATAATAATTTTGTGAATATTTTAATTATATAATTATTTAAAAAAACAATTGAAAATTCAAATTTTCAAAGATAGGAAAATAGCATATAAAGTTGAACATTGATAATTATAAATTTCTTTAATACTTCTCCCTTTTACTTTTCGTACATAAAATTAATATTTCAATTGTCACATAACTTAAATTCAAATAGTTTAAAAATTCTTTAAATTTATATTATAAAATTAATTATTGATTTATATATGTTATTAAAAAGTAAAAAACTTTCCCAAAAAATAAATTTACATTTATATGTTAAGTAATCATCTATTGTAATTATTCTAAACTATATATAAATATTCTCTAATGAATACGTAGATAATATATATGTATGAAAACGGTCTAATTTATAAAAACATGTTTTTTATTAACTTTCGTTTTATTACATTAATAAGGACTTTCAAGAGAATCAACGTGGAAATGCAATGTTCAAAATTTCCGGGATATCGATTAGCATATAATTCGTATTTATTCCCTAGAATCGAATTTAATTGCTTTGACCGGGCATCCTTCACAACGTTTAATAGGTAACTGTACAAATCAGCACTTATCAGTTACCACTCATTGTCAAATCTTACAATATATAATTTTACAATATATAATTTATATTATTACAATATTTGGAAGTTACTAATTGTTTATTCAAAATTTACTTGGACGCCGAATAATTTTTCTTTTCATTTTATTTATTCTAAAATCGCAATTGAAGTATTGAAAATTAAACACATTTTATGGATAATATTCGCTTTAGGTATAACATAAAATATTTGCAAATATCAATTATGAAAATCATAAAAAAAATTGTGCATATGTATTTATAACAAATATTTACGATTTACATGCCTTATATTAAATATATGGAATATAAAAATTATAATAGAATTTTGTACTACTTATATATCCATTTTATTTATTTTCATCCGATTATGAATGTTTGTATAAATTATAACTATGTTTTTAATAATTACTGATATATTTAATAAAATATATAAAAAAGTAAATAATCATCTACATATTTAATTTTAAAATATGTTATTATTATAAATATATTAAAAATCTTCTACATTTTATACTATAATTTAATTATAAAACAATATTTAAGGATTTTCAATAATTTATAAAAAATTATAAAAATCGATAAAATATAAATAAATGGAATAGGCAGAAATATAAAATATTTGTAAGGTATAAAATTTTAATATACACATAACTTTATTTGTTTAAGAACAAAAAGTGAAAGTATAAATTAATTACTTCCGATTAGAAAAATTATTTAAAAAATCATCGTAACATCTAAAGACAATATTTTTTTAAAAGAAAGATTTTAATTTGATTGCAGTTTTTTTATGAATACTTTATCTTTCTGTTATTCGATTATATAAAAATTACACTTACTTTTGTATGCGGGGGAGACTTATAGATAGACAAAGATATATGTATAAAATTAAAATAGTTATAGATATTAAAATCTAAAAATATTAATATATTTATCAGTACTAAATAAATATTCATATAAAAGATATTATTTATTTTAAACTTTTTGACTATATATTAATGCATTAAAAAATTACATTCATGTGTTTGATAAATTGCAACTATATTATAGCAAATATATTCTAAATTTATCCGTGAATAATGTAATTTAAACTTACTAATATTATCATAAATCATAAAAAAATAAAAACAATAATTACATAAATAATCATAATATTATATAAAATTCTTATTCTAATAAATTGATTATAGCTTATTAACCTTGCACAATTATTTATAAGTTTTAAGTAATAATAGATGCAATTAAGTAAGTTTAGACCTAGAATACATATTTATTTATGAAATTATGAATATTTACTATTTTTTCAGTAAATTAAACGAAAAGCTAGGACAAAAACCAGGACAAGAAATCGGACATGATGAGGATCAAGAACAAGAAGATGAGGAAGAGGATAATGATTTAAATGCAGAAGATTTACTTGCTGCTGTATCTGCAAGTGCAGAGCAAGGAATTGTTCTATTTTCACAGTGGTTGGGATTAAATTTATCACCAAGAATAAATGTTACAAATAGCAATAATAATAAAGAACAGTCTATAAAGTTTGAGCGACCTATTGGTAACACGAATTATACGACCAGTAGGCATGGTCGGACTATAGCTGTTCTACTTGAAAATGAGGTAACTTTCTAATAAAATATATTTTTATAACTATTCGAATATATATGGCTAATAAACATGATAGATCACAAAATGGAAACAATTCTTTTACGATCTAATTTAGTTTATTGTACCGTATTATAATATCTAAATTTATATTTATAATTATAATGATTATTTTAGTACTAATAACGTTTTATTTTAAAACCAAATTTGTAGTAATTTGAACGAATTAATTCTGGTTACCGTCATTTAATTTACATTATTTCATACTTTTCTACATATTTTTATTGAATAAAAATATGGTGAAAATATTGTTGCAATTAATAGTAATTGATATAATTTTTTTTTATTTCTAAATTTAATGTATCCTATTGAAGAAAAAATTTTAACGATAAAATTTATATAATAGTTTTCTCATATTGAGTCTTTAGTTGATTTTCTCATATTTATATCGAATTTAAAAGATTGATAGTGTTCCTATGTTAAATTGCCTATGCTTATTATTGTAATACTTGTGACAGGATAAAAGTGACGAGAGATTTAAGCAACTACTTAGTGCTCAAGATAATATTCTAAAAGAATCAGCGACTATTGGTGAATCATCCAGTAATTTAGCGACTACTTTCTTTTATTCGCAACCAGATGTTGACGAAGCACGTATATCTAATTTAGAGCCAAGTGCTCTAATTTCTCCGGAAAATCTTGCTGTTGTATCTTCTGAGTCAAGACGAGGAGGTCGTGCTTACAGTATCCATCAACATATCAATGAAGTATAATGCAATGTTTTTCAAATCATGTTTAGAAATACTTATAATTTTATAATGGATTTCTTTTCTTCATCAGCAGTAAAGTTATCGTCATTGCTTATATTTTTCTAATTAAGATTGAAGTGTACAAAATTGTAAATTTCTACAAATTTTTATTTTGTTCAATTTATTTACATTATTATAAACTTATTTGATCTAATACTATAATAGATTAATTTTCAAAAGTTAAAATATTAATGGACTAGATAATAGCAGCATTTTGTATTACAAAGGTAAATTTATTTGCATATATACGAGCACATACGTCTAATTTATATCTTACTTCTAAAGTAAACTTCTGTACATAAAATATGTGTTTGTGAAAATATTTTTGGATTTTATCTTTGGATAAATAAAAAATCTATCCAATTCGTATAATATCACTTATTCCATTATTGTATAACTATAATAATAGACAAGTAATAAAGTGTATATATTTAACAAATCCAATAATTTATTATCCTTTTGTTTGCTGTTGTGTTATGATTAATTCTTTATAATTTATCATATTATGTACAGATTTGAAGTACGTACTATTGTACATTCTCTGAAAAATAGAAACATTGATTAAATAAAGCACATATAGTCACTTAAATTTACCTAATTATTCATTTTCATTAATCGATTCATTTACATCTACCCTCAATTTTATTTTAGAACGTTGGTAGAGTGTTTGGTAATATGTGATGGTGAAACCATGGATTTCAATTTATACTGAAGAGCATGAATGCGTCTTCCAAGATGAAGTACAATGTTGCCTATTTTTACAGCTTTAAATTCTGCAATTGCTTCGGCATGAGTCATGCCATGTAAAGCCTTTGAATTAATCGACAAAATTTCATCTCCTATAAATGATTTCATAAGAATCAACAATAATTACTATAGAATAAATAAATTATATATTAAAAATAAAGTATAAAGAGAAAAAACGAATTTTTACATAATTCATCATGTTTCACAAACACATTTCTATATAAATATATTATATTATATCTAATAATATAAAAAATTATTAATATATGTGAAGGATAAATTTTGTAATTTATTCAATAAGTAAGTATTAGCTAAATTTGTTTAAACTATCCAATTAAACGGTTTGTAGTTTTCTTCGGCAGTCTCATAAAATGCACGAACATTAATTTGTGTTAAATGTTAAGTATATACCTAAGTATGTAATTTAAAAAATAAAATCATCAGTGAAATATTAAGTGTCGTATGGTTATATGTATGAAATAATAAAACATAATGATATTATTAATGAATAATAATTTATAAATATTATACTAATAATTTGTATCTATTTTTACAAAAAATTTTAATATAAAATATATCTAGTTCGTGCAGAATTATTTATATTTTCATTAAGATAATTTATAAAATTAAACCGTAAATTATATACATTGTCAAATAAATATAATAAATAATACGAATACTTTTGTATTTATATTTTATAACATAAGCTTATGTTTAAAAAGTAAAATTATTGATTTGTATAGATTTTTTTTTTTTTTTTAATCAAATATTTAAAATTAATCAAGTTTTTATTTTATCTAATAAACATTTTAATTATTAAGACTAAGGAAATTCATTTTTAAAAATCATATGTAAAAATAACATTCGGAAGAAATTAAATATAAAATTAAAATATGTAAGACTTTATAATCGTACATCTTTACAGAGCCGCCATCAATAGTTTATAATATATGGATGTTAAATAACCTGACTTCAAGTATTCATTAAAAAATTTAAATATTAAAGAAGCAAACATAAAAAATAAATCGTTTATGAGTATTAAATTATCAATGACTTAGAAGCTAATGTCCACTGTGTATAAGGTTAACGATGTTGCGAACTGGAAAAGTGAAATGCGGATAATCAAGGCCTCATCGGACACATAAATATTTTAGTTTCATTACCATGTAAACCTAATATCTATATATCACCTATGCAGTTAGCTATATTAACGAAATTCTCGAACAATAAATTCAATAAAGATACCAATATATTGAATCGAAATATTATTCAAAAATATACAGTACGCCCTTACGCCACATTTTGTAACGATAAAGTACGAAAAAGAAAAGCTAATGATGTTTCCTAATATTTATTAAACTGGAAAGGTAAATTAAATTATATTTAATTTATTTTTAATTTTGTAGATGACATTATATTTTAAAAAGCAATTAATTTTTGTTCGCTATAATATTGATTTAAAGGAATTGTTACAAGTTCATTGATACTGTATTAATTTTATTATATGTTTACAAACTTGATAGCTAAATAAAATTTATCTAAATTTACTGTTCTTTACAAAAAGTAATTATTTTATCTATTGATTTCCTTTTTACAAAATTTCAGGTTTATACGTATCTTAAGCTGATAATTTTTGTAATTTTAACTTACTTAACTTTCTTTGATTTGATTTAGAAATTAAAATTATACTAATAAATTAAATTTATACATTTTTTTAATAAAAGATATATGAATTTGAATTAATATTATAAATTGTATGCTAATTACTACATTTTTCTAATGAGAGGATTTTATGTATATTTATCTTAATCTTAATAAGATAATCTTAGAATAATAGAACAACAATAATAAATGACCATTAAAATCTTGAATATTAAATAGTAAAATATTATAATAATAAAATTCAATATTCAAATTAAATACAGTAAGTAATTAATGAAATAATATTAATAAAAAATAGTAATTTATAATCTTAAATATATTTGTAGTCGTTTACTGTTATCAAGTGATTATTATATACTTACTTAAGTATCGACAATAATAACAACAAACAATAGTAATAACAATTATAATAATAAGAAGTGTACCTTCTTTTATAACATCAAGATCTGAAGCTTGTCCATTAGGAAATATTGTCTTAACATAAATCCCCATATTTCCACGTGGGCTATCAATACCACCAACGATACTAAATCCTAGTCCTTTATAACCTGGCCCTTTAAAAAACTTTGCGATTAAAATAGTATAGGATCCAAATTTATTAGAAGGTCTAGGTAATGTGCAAAAATGTAAATCATTTGAATCTTTCAGTTCATCTATTTCAAAATCTGAATTTAAACCTTCATCTATTTCTTGCGTAAATTTTGTTTGTTTAAAATCAGAATTTGAAAAGTCAAATATATTAGCAACACTTTTACTAGAAACGGATTTTTTTGATTTTATTGTAGCAACTGATACGGCTAAATTTGAAGATTCCGACTTGATCTCATTTAAATTAACTTGCTTCTTTCGACGATGAAGATTAATGATATTTACACGTGGAATATGATAAATTAAGCTTTCGTTTGATGAACTTAATGGACTTGGTACGTAAAAATTTGATACACTATCCGCAAAACTTAATGCCTTTCCTCTTCGTATTCCAGAATTTATTTTGTTAAATTTAGTACGAAGTGCAGTTTGTATATCAGTAATAGTCTTTCCTGTGCCTAAAATATATTGTCATTTGATTTTTAATTTAATTACTAGTTGACTAAGTTATTAGAATATTATAACCTACTAGGGAGTCTAAGAGAAGTAGTTTGTAAAATTTTTCGAGCATGAGATGTAGCTGATGTTATGGCTGACACTGGTGAAACTTCTCGGCTAACCGGAGTAGAATTAAAAGAACGTGTGCGTTGTGTGCTTTCCTTAACTATATTAGGACGTCGTAATTTTCTCCATCGTTGCCGAATAGTAATATTCCATGAATTAAAATCTGAAAATATAAAGATTTTTATCATTTCCAACAAATTCTATAAAATATTGTGTAATTCTCAACAACGTCAGTGTATTACTTAACATTAAACTAGTATAAACATAGAAAACAAAAAATAGGTGTATGCATTTAAATTAAATGAATTAATTTAAGGTCAAATTTTTCGAACTTATGTTAGAAAAAGTATATATATATATTTAAGTATATATGCAGAAAAAACAAAACTTATGATCGGATTTTCAATCATTATATCTTTCATTCGAAAGTTGTCTTTATGCTTACTATTAAAATAAATTGACAAATGCTAAAGACCAATGACAAAAGGCGATTGATGAATTTAAATTTTTCATCAAAATGACAGTGGTTTAAGAAAAAAAATTTGTAGAAACAATAATTATTCAAGAAAGCTTTAAAAATTAAAATATATTTGAAAAATATTCATTAAATTTCAGATGTTTTATTCTAACTGCTTAAATTCATTTTTGAATAGCATTATTATTAGATTTATAAATATGTTTTAAAATCTGTATTTTTTTTATAATAACAATCTTATTATTCATTAAAAATTAATTGTGTAAAAGTAATATTTAAAAATAAGATAAAACTGATAAATTTATGATTCAAATTATTGTTATTATTGTTATTATTATTATTATTCTTTTGAAATAATTTTAATGATTTGAATGAAAATAATTTGTTTATTTTAACTTTTTTAAAACTTTTTCAATAATAAATCACACTGAAAGTGGACATTTTTGTGGTTGTTAATTTCTAAACAATATAATACCAAACATTAATTTATTATTAAAAAATCCTTCAATTCTAATGAATTTAAAAATAATATTTGAAATATACTAAATATTACATCTAGCGGCGAAAAAAAACATTATTTATTATCACAGTTTTCTTTAAGAGTCCGACACATATTTTAAGAATTCTTTAATATTTCAATATCTTTTTTATATAAAACATAATATGAGCTCGAAAATATATATCAATTTTGTGTTCGAAATTCACATCCTTTGAATTTATTTTTTCACGTTGAAAAATAAATAATAGTTGCATTTGTCAATATAAAAGATAATAAAATATTATAGCTATTCAAATTTTAATTTATTCTATTTTGTCCTTGTCGACATAGAATGTTACTGCATTTTTAAATAAAAAATCCTTATTCTTCGTCTGGCGCTGTTTTTTCCTTGATTTCTTAGTTTCAACGATCTATTGACTAGTACATAATACACTATGTATGATTGTGTTCCCACTCTTAAATCAATACATATAAATACTTTGTGAATAATATGTTAATAATAATTGTATGTATATCAGGAACAATTATTAAATTCATATGAGTAGTAATAGCCTAATATTTTATCCTTTTTCCAAATCAACTCAACATACACATTTAACACATTGAACAATAGCAAAATAATACAATATCTACCTCGCATGTAGTTTTACCACAAGCAAATATTCATATAAACTCCTTTTATACTTCAGCTATTCATGTATTATCCCCATTACAATGAAAACTCTTTTTCACAATTATTCAATGAAATACGTTGAATTGAATACTTTTATTATTGGACATAAGATATATTTTACCATAAATAATATTTGATCAACAAATCAAATTCTTTATTATTCATTATTTTTATCAAATTTTAAAATTTTATAAAATTTTCGTCTAAAAAATCATTTCAACGTTTAATTTATAGAGTTTTTTAATACCTACTACCGAAAATTGTGAAATTAATAAAATAAACAAGTGATAAAAAGTAGAGTATTATAGCATTTTTGAGACATAATCAAAAACAAAATTTTTTGTTTTCATTTCTTAAATATATAGCTTATTAAGCTATAATAAGCATTAAAATTTAAAATAATTATTACTTACCACTTTCCTTTCCTTCCTTATCAGATTTTACAGATATTAAGTGATTACTTCTCGAATTGCTTTGAGGGTACAAATCAGTTTTAAATTCTTCTAATTGCCAGTCACATTCTTTGACTAATTTATCAAGTTCGTTGGGTAAATTCAAAAGATCAATCGTAGAATCGTTATCTTTACTTTCATGGTTTTCCTTCCTTTCAGATTTTCTGCGTTTAATTCTTTTTCTTCTAATTGGAGCTTGCGGTTTCTCTTCTATCTCTGCTTTCTTCTCGTCTTGCTTTATTTCATTGTAAATAATATGTTCGTCTTTGTTTAAATAAGACCTTCCTATTTTTTGTTCTTTTACTTCATCACTTATTGGTATTTTCTGATCTTTAGTAAGTTCTATTGTTGATTTAACTCTCAAATTCTCTAAATCTTTCAAATCAGCAAGCATACTATAATGACAATTCTTTTGAACTGTTTTCGATGATGATCTATTAATTTCCAATTGTTGCAAATATTTCTTTTGTTGTGCTTCATTCTGGTGAATACATATATTCTTACAAGTCTGGCAAATACTTTTATGTTTATTATAAACAAATGAATTTTCACTTAACTGTTTATTATTCATTTGCAACATTATTTTTTTACGTTATGAATGTCCTGTTAAACAAAAATTGACACTTTTTAATAAGTTTTCTCGAAGACAAATTTATCTTTGTATTTTACATGTGTAGTATAAAAGCTTAAAGGCGAAATTGACATTTAAAATAATTTTATGGAAAATTTTGAGCTGTTTATTTTTATATTAAGATAAATTTAAACAACAATTTTTTTCATTATTACAGTATTATTGAATTTACTCGTCTCTCTAGAGAATAAGTATTAAATTACCTAAAATAAAATGTATTTCAAGATTTAATTTTTACATCAAATATTTATATCAATAAGAAAATCTATATAAAAAAAAATATTGTATAATACTTATGTTAATTCTGCCAAACATATAAGCACTACATTGCAATACAAATAATTGAAAAAAAACTATTAAATTATCGGAATACTATTGAAAAAAATAATTATTTTCAATATTATTTGATCATTAATGAACCAGCAAAAATAATTTAAATAAGCGGAAGTAAGAGCAGTATCTAAAAAGAAATTTTTTTTAAATATAAAATTTGTATTGGAATGACATAAAATTAATGCTCTTCGTTATGTTATAACTAATATTGGAAAAGTATATTGCGACAATAAGTAAGAAGATCGTGGGCGTATTTCTCGAACGTTCTTGTCTTGCAACAAGGAGTTATCGCCCACAGCACCATTCGGTACAATCTGATTGTTCTTTAGTCGTATATTCCTGTTATAATTTTTTTCTTATTTTATTTAAATCCTTTATTTTTTATTGTGGTTTAATTATGTCTATATTTATTAATTCATTCAATTTTTTATAATTTGCACATTATTATATGGGTACAATTGCACATATATCAATATACATATATTCACATTCTTTTAATTAGTCGCTACTAATCCATAGTATTATTTACTAGTTATACAAAGAATATTATTATTAAATCGAGTTCTAATTTATGAAAATATATAAATTTCTAAATAGTTATAACCAATAATGTGCATATTCTTTTAATATAATTATTATTGTAATTCTTATGGAACAAACATTTACGTAATAATATAGATACATTATTACAAGTTCTATATATTTTATTACAAATATAAAGATGCAAATTAACTGTCTGACCCCAAACTCCCTTACTTTATTGACAGTTATTCGTGTGCTCTCTCTCTCTCTCTCTCTCTCTCTATTTCACTTACTATCTTACACACACGTTTTATAACTTTATTTTACTATTTTTAATATGAAAACATGTTAAATCAACTTTTCGCACATAATAATGTAATTATTAACAAATAATTATACATTAAAAATAATAATAAAATAAATATTAAAATTTGGATTTAGCAATACAAATATACATTGTTAACGGTGATAGAAAAATATTAATCGAAAATATGTTTGATCCATGGAATTGGTTGATAAACAATTATATAAAAAATATTTACACATTATGCGTGCGTGCGTGTGTGCGTACGCGCACGCTTGTTGTAAATGATTCCGTGTGCATACATGCGTGCGTATTCAAGTTTTAACCAAATTAAAAACATACATGTTAGAAAACAACTATAATTACTTATACATACCTAAATAGCTTACATTGATCACACCCAGTGCATTTATACGTAAGCAATATAAAAACGTCTGCGGAAGCTCTGAATTAGTTACGGTCCCGTCATGTAATGTACGCTCACGCATTTAAGCTGTTACTTTTCTTTCTATGTATCCCGTTGCTTCTCGTCGATGGTGCACGTACGAGTGACTGGTAGGGAGAACGCTGGAACAAACTATGAATTTTCTTGAGCTACCTTCTCAAGTCGAATGACTTCTCGTAACATAAGTCACTCCTTTGCGGCCACATTGGACAAGCCCAAATATGACACAATAGACTTGAAACATATTTTATTAAAAATCAAACAATACGCTTTTAAACTTACTTCTAAATGAAAAGATGTCCCTCAATTAGATTAATTTAATTTTAATATTAACTGTTATTTACTAATTTGTATTTCCAAGTATGTGTTTATAATTATAATTTAAATATAATATTATTGAAAATGCTAAGACTGGAGAAACTAATCGAAGAAACAGACTTTATTATTATTTAGTATAATTATCAAAATGTATTATTTATGACATTATGTATATTTATTTGTATAGTTTAAAAATTTATAATGAGTTAATTTAAATTTATAGTAAATTCGAGACAAATATCTATAATTCTTTAAGTAAATTAATATTTTATAAGTTGAACTACATAGAATTCAAGAATTTAGTATTCTACAAATTTTTATAATCTATACTAAATTTATGAAAAATATTTTTGTTATTATATATATATTTAAATTTGTATATATGTAGAAAACTCCACTTTCTTAAAGTATGTCTGTAATTTATTTTTGTTTAAATTATAAATAAGAAATATTTGAAATAATTTCAATCTATCATGTTGAAATAAAAAGATGCCTCAATTTATTTAGATTCATATTATTTTATATTAAAAACTTTGTGTGTATTTAAATTATATTAACTTTCTAATTTAATAAATATTGCAATAAATATAGCAACAATTTTGTATTATGTATTTAAAAAGATAATTTCATTTATAAAGATACTCAATTCATTGAAATTATTTAAATTTTATGAATTCAAACTAAATGTTCAAAGTATGTTTTATATTGAAGACTTTTAATAAAACAAACAAAACTAATAAAATTTATAAAAATATTATTATAATTATTCTTAATTAGTACTGATCTATTACTAACAAATGATTAATATATAAAAAAGGAAAAGGAAAATCTATATATATCATTAATACAAAATATGAATAATAAGTATAATGGAATTTTTTATATAATCTAGTCTATTAAGATGATTTGAAATTTTTAATTTATGATGGTATTAATTTAGTTTCTGATTTATAACTTACGAATTAAGCATACATAAAATAAATAATAATAATAATTTATTAACTAACACTAAAATTACATCTAAAAGATATTTGAAAAACTAGTTTTCACTATGTAAAATATAAAACAGTCGATTTAATTAAAATCATTATATTTTTTATAAAAATATAAATACTTTTCTTTTAAATAAAATTTTCGGATTTTTAATTATATATTTTATAATTAAATTAAATTTTAATTAATATAGCACGTTATAATATGCATTAAATGACATAAGACATTTATGTGAATCAAATTTACAAATACTTTATTCCTTAAAATTAGTTTGTAACATAGAATACATTTATTGTAGTATTCTTACAATAAACATCTCAAATATCATTAATATATCAATGAAATGTAAATATAGTTTTAAATATATAAAAATAAAAAAAAATATTTAGCATTTAGAATAAATTTAAAATTAATTATAACTTTGAAACATAAATTAAATGGAGATTAAGCCAAAATTATCTCTAAAAGTGCCAATCAAATAAAAAAATTTAAACTTTGTATTCTGCTTAATAAATAATTTTTAATTTTTGCTTCTTATACAATAAATAAATAAACAATAATATACAATAAATAAATAAAAAACTCATACGTATTTTTTTGAGTTACAGCGTTTTTGAGTATAGCGTTGAGAATTTTATGTTTTAAAAAAGTAAGCAATACTCATAATAGAATTAAATTATATAAATATTACTTATATTTACAATGTATATTATATTTACTGTGTTACGGTTTTGAATGGAAGATTCACACTAATTTTATAATAATAGTAATTTATAAAATTCGTATGCTTATAATGAAAATTTGTAACTATAAGTCAATAAATTGTATTAATATTCATAATGTATGCAAAATTACAAAAGCAATTACTATTAAAAACTGAATTTATCTACAATCGACCAATAGATTACCTAAAATTTTAAATTAATTAAAGTAATTGATTAATAGGAAGTTTAAAATTAAGAGAAAGCATTAAAAATTTTATATCTTTAATTTAAAGAACCATTTTTCATTTGTATTATTTATTACCAATACATGAAAATAATAATAAATTTACATTTTAAAAAATATAAAATACATTCAATAAAGTATCTCTTAATAATAATTTTATATTTATTTAATATCCAATTAATGAATATGTCTTTATAATAGTACTATAAAATTTAATGATAATTACAAGTTAATTAGAAAATTTGTATTGGACACTAACAAATTAATCCAAAATATTCTTGAAAAAAAAATTATTTTACAGTATATAAAAAGTAAAAAAAAAGTATTATAAAACATTTATTTTCATTACAAGAATATTCATCGTTACACTATTCATAAAAATTAAAGCGTAGATATTTTATTCTCTCTATTTACATAAATGAACATTTTATTAAATTTTATTGAATAATTGCCACTTCATAGAAATCAGTTCCATATTTAATAGTATTTTTTAAATAATTTATATACCTTTTCATTAAAATTGTAAAACATGAAGAAAATTTGTTTCTTACTTTAATTTTAAATCATTTGATTCAAAGAATTTTTATAAAATAATTACAATAAATAATTAAAATAAACTTAAATATATGTTTTTATTCAAAATTAATAGGATTAAAAATTAACGGCTATAAGTAATTTCGGTTTTAAATATGAAAATGCACTTTTATTTATTCTTTTAAACACAAATATTTTTTTAGTATTACTTTCTAATTTTTAATTGGTTTTCCTAGAAGTAATTTCAAATCATAATTGTATTTTAAAACAAAGTTATGTTGATTTTTAATTTTAAGTTCCATACAATTGTATGTGATTGTTCTTCTAATAAGCAAAAAGTTGTTTCCGTTTAAGCAAGCATTGTGAATGAGATCTAATACATACTTGAAATTATATTTTAATGCCTGCATGTATCGAATAATAGTAATAGAAAAGCAATGATTATAGATTCAAATAAATATTATGCAATTGAATAATAAATATTTCGATCAAATCATTTTAATAGATAATTTTCTTTTATTTCTAGAAGAATTCATTTCTAAGCTAATACACTCAATTATACATTATTTACAGTGTTCATTGCTAATTAATAAACATTTAAATGTGTAGAATTAAAACTTGTAAGTAATTGTAATTTAATATATAGTAAGATAATTGGTAGGCTGAAAATAAAATTATTTATATGGTAATAAGCTACATATATAAAAATAAGTAGAAAGTATCTAAAGTAATATTAGATTAAAATAGTATTAATTTTTATAATGTTATATTTAATGATTTATCAGATTTTTTAAAATACAATGACAAAATATACTATAACATATAATTATAAATAATTTTAAATTAATCAATAAGAAATACGCAATGTGAGACAATTATATTTCTCATATTTCATGAAAACATGAAAACATTTTTCATAAATTACTGAAAAAATTGTTTTATCGAAAAAAATAATATACAAAAGGATTCCATGAATATTTTATATAATTTTCGTTTATTATTACACACGTAATATTTATAAAATTACTTAATATCCTTTGTGCTTATCAGGTAGACTTTAAATTGATTGGTTACTATGTATAAAGAGTTTATAATTTTATATAAAAATATAATAAACTTTATGAAGTCATTAAGGTTTGTATGCTGTGTCTTTATATTTATTTGAATAGACTTTATTACTTATTTAAATTCTCAAAACTTCAAAATTTACTTAAAAATAGTTACAGTGTGAACACTGAAAATCTGAATCAAAGTATTTAATTAAAGTACATAAAGGTATATTGTTTTTAACAAGAAAGTATACAATCAATTATCAAGTTGTGTTTCATTTTTATTACAGAATATGATAAGAACTACAGATGATTGATAGAACATAATGTAGCGATTTCAAAATAAAAAAATAATTTATTCAAAAAAGATATTATCTTATAATATATAAATTTATATGCTTATACTAAAATATAGATTATTAATACCGTTTTGTTACAAATACTTATTATTAAAAATTTATAAAAATGACTGCTTCAATATTTAACAATAAAAAATAACAAAATCTGCACATTTGTCACATAAAAAAATAAAAAATTGAAAACATGTATGCAACCTCAACAATTGCTTAATAGTAAAATAATAAAATATTTTAATAAGTGTCTAAAAACAATTATTCCATGTCATTTTGTTGCTCCAGAAACTGTTTCAATAATGCATCATCTAATGGAATAATAAGATATTCAATTCCATCAACTTGTCTTTTAGTTTTTACAAGTTTGTGATCAATAAATTCAGTTAATTGAGCTCGCAAAGCTTGATCAGAAGATACTAAAAATGCCTCTCTAGATGACATATATAAATCTTTAAATGCCATTCCTAAAATAATATTAATCACAATTTTAGTGCTTACTACTAAATATACCTAGAAAAGTATTTACCAGAATAATTATTTCCATTGTGCTCTAATTGATACTTTACAAGAATTATATATATGGCTTTTGCGTTTGAAGTTAATGATGCAAATACATTTTCTAAGGATAACAAAGCAAGTACTCCACTTTTTTGAACAAGTAATGAACTTTCATATGAAATTTCAGCTTGATATGGTAAAAATGTTGTAACATCCATCCAGTAAAAATTATATCTTGCCCTTTTAACATTATCCCATACTAAAATAAATAAAATTAGTATTCTACATTTTTTAAATGATTAATTTAAGAAACTTTTTTATTACATAAAGGCGCATTAATATGATCTACCGAGGCTAACATATGAATATTTGGTATGTTTGCTAAGCGTGATAACATATCCTGAGCTTTATTCAAACGTAACATTCCGCAATCAATATTATGAATCAATAAATATATACAATCATCTGGGTGAGTTTTCATCGTTTTTTCAATAATATCATAACATTCATTTTGATTAGTGACTGTATTCAATCCTAATAATTCAACAATAATGTTATCTAATATCTAAAACAAATTATAGAAATAACTCAGTTTTATATCATAATTATGTATATACATATATATTAAATTTATATAATTACATCTTTTATCGTCAAACTTGGAAAGAAACCATTTATAACTAATGTCGGTTCATTAAAAATAACTTCTTTACGAAAATTATTAATTAAAAGTCTTTTTGATCCAAGACCAAATAATAATACAGTATAACCTTCTCTAAAAATTAAATAAAAAATAATGTAGCCATATTTATTCACAATATTCATATTTAAATATTTATTTAAATTTTGATTTACTCCATTATATAAAGCCATTCCTTGTAACACAAAATTAACGACTCTGATATTATTTCAATTTTTTTTTTATGAGTTTTTGAAATATAACTATCATTTGCTAATAATTGTTGTAATGTTTCTTCATCTAAATGTCGATTTCTTAATCTATTTAAAGTATGATTCGATGTTACAGATTTTTCTGACTGAGTAGTAAAATACTCATCTGCTTTTAAATGCTAAGAAGGTAAATATCATTTCTATAATATAAAAATTTCTAAAGCAAGTTTAAAAATATTTTATTAATTTTAAATCTTACATATCCTTTGTTAACCCTTGGTCTTAATGATCGTAAAATATTATTTTCTAATTTTGTATCAATTATATTTACTTTTCTCTTTTCATCTTTGTTACTATTGCATTCAAAATTTTCATCTATATTATTATCATTGTTTGTTTCATCAGCTGAACTTTCACTAGATATTTTCAAGAAATGTAATTTTTTCTTTGATATTTTATTTCTCAATTTAATTTTTTTTTTACTTTGATTTGAATCTGTTGGAATAAATATTAATTACATACTTATTATTTATTTATATAATTAAGTATATTTATACTCACTTGTAATATAATACTGATCTGTTTCTTTATTTGTTATAACTTTGGTAAGACATATTCTCAAATCTTTTTTTAAGGATATAGTTGGTTTATCTTTTACATTGCCAAACATTTTTGCTTTTTCAAACATTGCATTTTTCTTGATTGACGTACTAATTACAGGATATATAGTTTTACCATCAACATCAGTTTTCGAAAATAATTCTAAAATTAATAATCAAATATTTAAATATATAATTTTTATTTTTTATGATAAAATTATAACATTTTTTAACCTGTAGGTTTTTCATTATTTATCTCAGTATCTTGTGATTCTTCTTTACATTTATCATTTTCAAAATTAAGACTACTATCGCATTCTTGAAATTTACATTCAGTTGAACCTTTTAAATCTGCAAAAATATTATAATTCTTAGTGATAATGAGAAATAAAATAGTAAATTTATAAATTAAAATATAAAATATATACTTATCTAACATTTCAAATTTAATTATGAAATATATAATAATGGATATGTAAATATTGAAGTAAAAAATTTTAACCTGTATACTTTGAAATACTGTTACGAGTTTGAAATCTTGTAGACCTTCTGGGATTTCCCGACATCTTGATAATAAATTATAAAATATAAAATGACATAAGTTACAATACAACAGACTATGAAAATATTGTGACTATATACTATTATTTAAAGTACACATAACTGAGGATTAAAATCCTATAAATTAATGTGAAAATTTTTCCCGCCTAAAAGCATATGGCGAATAGAAAGATGAATTGTCACTAGTAAATTCATGCTTACTTGAATATATACGACACTAGCTCCATATTTTTTATATTTTGTATAAAAGTACATGTAAATACGGATAATTCCAAATAAATGTTTTTGAATACATTTAAACCATATATTCTTTAAAAATCATATAATGATACTTATTTTGACTCTATAATATCTCTATCATATAATACTTGATTATTATTTTAGTTTAACTAAAATGAATCATTAAACAAATACTCTATATAACCAGAAAATTCTGAAATAATATTTTTATTACAAGAACGTATAGAGTAAACTGCATTATTATCAATAAATTGGTTTTATTATCAATTATTTCAAAATAATACTTTAAACTTTCATTTATAAAGGATTTATTTCTAAAATAATCTCAAATGTTAAAGAAAAACTAGTATAATACTATACAAAAATTTAATACATTTCATATAATTTAGTAATTTTCGTATATAAATAATTTCTATACAAAATTTAGTTTTTTAAATTTTGATTATTAGCTCTCAAAAATGGTTCATGTAAAATTTTATGCAATCGCTGTGCTTTTTGTTTTCCAAATCCTGGACATAAACTTAATGATTCAGGTGATGCCTTGATTATGGCATTAAATGTTCCAAATGTTGATAAAAGTGTCAAAGCATCAGTTTTATTTAATGATCGAACTGTAGTTAAAGCATTTATTAGCTATGAAACAATATCGTATTAGTAATTTCGTTATAAATACTTAGTAATATAGTAATTTCAATTGTATTTACTTTTTGATGAGGTAATATATCACTCCGCTCCATAATCATATCTGCTGGTTTATTTTCATAAACTTTATATGTTTCAATCATTTTACCTGCCTCGTCAGCACTCCATGCCAACATTAGTGTTAAATCAGCCAGTATACAAATTTTTGTAAGATGTTTTAATGAATGATGTGGTTCTGCTATATCAACCTTTTTAAATAGAAAAAATATAAATAGTAGTATATATTTTTAAAAAAATATTCTATTTATTTGATAATAAAATATACTTGAACTAGCAAAATACGAAGATTATATGAAGAACCTAATGTTTTTAATCGATCATGTATGTAATCAGGATTTAATTGATGATACCGAAGTGACAAAAACAAAATACATGAAGTTTTACTCATAACATAGTCAGGAATAATTTCTGAATATTCATACGGTATACTGGTTATGTATTTTATTAATGGATTACCTTTCTAAAAATAATGTAATTAATGTTAATATTTAAATTATATTCTACATTATCAGTTTACATAGGACATACTTGTTTTGGATTAATTAAAAGAGGATTCAATTTCAAAGTATTTTTTGTACTTTCTAAAAATTCTTTTTTTAAAATATCAGATTTTTTTGATGAACTGAAGTTTTCTAAAAATGTAAAATTATTAATTTGAATTAATATATTAAATGTTTTTAATTTTATTATATAAATGGAAAATAATTAACAATTATAGAAATTTACCATTAATTACAAGAGCTGATTCTGATTTAGTTTTCTTTATCTTTGGTTCATCAACTACCTTATCTATTTCATTGGCATTCATATTTATTATTTATTAAATGTACAAAATTGACAATTTTAATTTCAGCTAGTGATATAATTTGCAATATTTTTTCTATATATATTCTTTTTTTTTTTTTTAATGTGTACATTTGATTTTATCCATTAAAATTATAGCCATAAATTTTACTATAAACGAAATATTTGTATTAATATTTTACTAATGCGGTGGGCCAAGGTACGAGAATGTTGCGTATTAAAATCAGCTGTTGTGACTACTTTAACCTATATCAAATACAAGAATGCGTGGATAATATTTTCATTACGTCATTCATAAATTCTAATTATGATTAAATCCCACATAATTTTTTATGCTTTATATGTATTTCTAACGAGTTTAATGAAATGGTGGTCAATTTTATGACAAAGTATTTTTATTTGATCCTAACAAATCTATTTTAGACTATATAGCTTTATACTTTTGTTCTAAGATGATTATTTATTATTTAGGCTGATACTGTTGCCTAGGCTGGATTTTTGTTATTACTGCTCGAACTTTTCTGCCACCAATGTTTTGACATTGTATAGCCAAACTATTATTATAACCAAAAAAATTAATAACATAAGAACTATATAACTTTGATGTAAACCAGTATTAGTATTACTATTATCATCTTCTTATGCTGTAATTTTGTATATAAATCAAAGAACTGAAAATACTTTTTTACATGTAAAATACAATTTATTAAATTTTATAATATATTTTAGTATGACGTTTATTTCTTATATTGTATTTATTTACTAAACTAATTTACAACATATTTAGAAGTCACCCATACCCCATTAAACGTAAAATCCGTAGCCCAAAAGTTGAAACTACGTCGAGATACAAAAACGACTAAAGATCTTCAATTAAAATTTAAGAATACGAGCAAAAATTTTAGATTAATTTTATCTAGTCATACTATCACTTAAAATATAGCTATTATCAATAAAACAGCATTATTGCAATTAGTGTAAAAAAAATATATATAACGGACAATAAATTTGATATTTTATTATAGACATTTGCAACCCAAACTGCATTTTACCAAGTGTTGATCTTCATACACTTTGCTCATATCAACATATGATTACTAAAGCCATTGCAATAGCTTGCATAACAAAATTAGACAGGTAATTTTGACACTGTACTTTTGTAAAGTTGTTAATAAATATAATGAAAACGTATATTAATTTGGAAATTTTTAATAGGACAACCTTTTTTTAATTAAAGCCTCAACTTGATTTGAATTGTATTGCAATTTTTTTGATAGGACAGATTTTATTCATTAGCGCGTGAATTTGATTGGAATTGCATTATAAATTTTAGAAAAAATGGTTTTCATGCCGATCCTATTGAGCCACCTTTATTTACAGTAAATTATTTTTCTACATTAATTTAATCATTCAATTCTATTTTTATTTAAATATAAATATTTACAAATATCTATTTTAGCAAATATCACAAGAAATTTATATAAAATTTTCCCTAGCTTTTTTTCTTAGGGTATATCTTTAATTTTGAAAATTATCTTTTAAAATATATATTTGTCTTTTTTTTTAATAATTTAATACGTAATTTAATACTTAATAATTTAATACTTTTATATAAAACAAATCTTATCATTTAAAATTTTATTTAATATTGCTTTACGAGTAATACATAGAAGACAAATTTTAATAAGTTATTTAATAATGTATGTTTTATTACAGACAGCTAAACTCTATTAGCTTGGATCTATTAGCATCTATAAAAGCTATTGATTTACGAAAAAAATATTCCAGTACAATCACCAGAAGTTTTACAATATCAATTCTTATTAAAAAATAAGCTAAGACACATAAAAATATTATTGATTAACGTTGTATAAAGTCATCAATTAAGATTATGGATCCGTTAACGCTTTTAATGACTTTCAATTTCATTATTTTTACGTCGAAATCATGATTTGTTGGTATTGAAACGAAGAAATTATCGTTAAATATTACCTTTCCTGAAATAAATTAAATTTTTTATGTTTTATTTAAGTTTTTTATTATTTAAATTTAATTTTAGTTTTTTCCATGCATATTTTTTACAATGACGTTATTAGGTCTTCTATGTCGGCTATTTAAAAGGTAGACGAAAGAACCTCTTTATGGTGTATACTCAAATACATAAGTCTTTAGAAATAATTTGAGATTAAAATTATAAAATTATTTTAGGAGACATTAGCCAGTAAGGTAGATGATCGCATAAACTGTAGCATTATGCTGATTTTTATAAAGTTTGACATATACATATTTATACCGTATAAGTATTGAGAATTAAATTAATTAAGATCCTAGTAATTTGGTTATTATGGAAACCAAGGGATTTACATATATATATATATATATATATATATATATATATGGATGTATGCATAACAACACTTAAAATGAACTACTAATTATATATAATGTTTAAAAAAATAAATATAAATGTACTACATTATTTTTCTAGAAACAATTTCTTTAGCTTGATGAGAATATAAAACATTACCATTCAGATCTATTTAATCACACATAAAAATTTTAATTAATTTAATATTTAAATTATTTTTAAAAATTTATGAAAATTATTTAAGAAATCATTTTAATTTAATAACAATTTTAAAAAGAATGAAAAAAAATATATTTTTTGTAAGAATTAAGTTGGTTTTGTAAAGTAAATTAATGTTATTGTCATTTGTTTACATTATTTAATTTTTTTTTGCTTTTGTAAAAGCTCATAGGCTTTGAAATAATCTGTACATTATTATAATAGGCGGCACTATTTTTAATTCCTAATTTAATAAATCAATAAAACTAGTCTTTATTACACTACTTTTTTAAGATACTCTGATACAATTTGAGTCGGCAAGTATTTGGGTTATATGAGCACAACCATTGAAATATCTCTGATCTAATGGAAGCCGTTTAATTCGAAAAAGATAAATCAATAAATAAATTGGAATACGCATTTAGTTCGCAATCATGATATGAAATAAATTGAGCTTAATTATTATTTTAGGTTTTAAAAGTTACTATATTAAATTACTATATAAAATTACAGTTCAATTTTTAGAATATAATATTTTTATTTCTAATTGATTTTCTTATCAATACCTAAATACCATATGAAACGTTGGTTCTAACTTGTTCAACTAAAATAAAATTAGCAAAAACAAATATTTATGCTAATTAATGCTTGATTAACTTTAAATATGGTTATATATTTTTATTAAATTAAGATTGTTTTAAAGAAAATAAAAAATTAATTGTATAGTTACGATAATTTTATACAGTGTTTACGTTAGAAAGACTGGGAACTTCAATCAATTAAAACTGACATGAGAATGAAAGTGTTTCATTGTTTAATAAAACCTTTTGCGTTTAAAAGGTGGCCCAGCCAATTTATAGTCTTCATAATAGTTTTTATATTTTTATACATCACTTAGATACGTTTTGTAATCGCATTGACGACGTTTCTTCATTCGAGATCAAGTATTTAGATATAGGCTTTTTATATTAGTATTCAAAATTTAAACAAAAATTAAGAAATTATTTCATTATAAAAAAATCAAAAACGTGCGATTAAAATGAAGTACCTTCAATTTTATAAATTACCACTAAACTATGTAATTATACAACAAACGGCATTTTATTAAATTTATTATGTGCTTAATCTGCGAGAAAAAATATTAAAATTTTCAAAATTATATTTATATGAAGACAGAAAGATTTGATAGCGTAGAATCAAATAAAGAAATAGAAAAACACGCTTAAGAGAACGTTTACAATACTAGCTGTATGTTGCTTAAACTAACAAATATTTTTGCTGCTATTGTTGATACACTTACATGGAAAGTAAGATTGGATACATGTAACGATATTAAAACTTACGTGTGTTGTTTTAATTAAGCAAAGCACATTTTAAAACTAAAGCAAATACGTCCTTGTGTCCTTTATGAATACGTGATATTTACGTAAAATAAATTAAAATCTAAATAAGAAACGAACATATATATGCAAAAGAATATGTCAAAAAATGTTATAATCACTTGCAGTTCCCTTTGTTCAAAATGCACTCATATAGTCATAATTAGCTTTTGCGGATCTTTGTTGCTTAGAAATTTAGAATTGCAAACCTCATCAATATTTCTAATCCCTCTCAATTTAAAAAAATTTTCTTGTTTACAATCATAAATAACACTGTTGTATTTACCAACTTGAAACAAATCATATTATAATAGAATTTTAATAAAATCAATAATTTTACTCCAGTATCTCCAACGAAGTATTAATTTTTATCCAATAATTTTCCCCATATTTATTAACAAAAAATAATATAATTATTTGAAAGAGTGGGTAGCAAAGCCATTGCAAAATTCATAAAAATAACCATGATTTTTGGTTAAGGCTCAACAGGCTGAAAAAGATGTACCAATGAACATATTTAACCTGGAGAACAAGATCAACATCCGTAACGTCAACCGCCGCTGCACGTCGCTCACGCAGCCGCGATATAAGAAATTCTTTACAAATAGCAAATACTGACCATCGGTAAATTCAAGATCATTCGCTTCAAAGAATTTTTGCATGTTACATTCACTTTTTTTCAATTTAACGTACGTTATTCTTTACCCTCCACTGATCACTGATCAAGAAACTATTTCAATGAGATTCGTGAGTACTTGTACAAGTTGCATTGTTATATATATATATATATATATATATATATATATATATATATATATATAGTAGTCCTGAAAGAGAAGTTATATAATTTGTCGTACTAATAAGTTAATATTAATAAAGGAAAGAGAAAGATAATTTAGTAAAAAATACAAATTTTTTGTTCAGTAAGTTGTATTACTATTAGATACTAATACCCTCTAATTTAGACGGTACTTAAAATTAATAAAAATATGCACTTTTTTGTATGTTAAAATTATTAAGTATTTTATTTTATATTTCATATGAAATAAGACATGAATAATAAGTAACATATATTTTCAAAAGAAAATGAAACTAACAATTGACATATCTTTCTACGTGATTATTACAAAAGAGATTCACATTTTTAATGTATCACGTAATATTTATCAAATACTTGCGAAACATTTTATCATTGAAAGACAATTATAAGCTTTATTTATTGAAAGCATTAAAATTTTTTTAAAAATAAAAATTATTTGCGTTAAACAACGAATGTGTATTAATTAAAAATATATATCATAAAATATTATATAAAATTTTGTTAATAGAATAATTTATACAATTTTTCTAAATATAAAAAGTTAATGGTAATGGTTATATAAATACAAATATCAGTGTACTTAATACTTGATTAAGAATGCAGTGCTCTTGCGTAGATACATAAATTTATTAAAAACGAACAAGGGCATATGATATGTTTATACTTATTTAAAAGTCATGAATAGACAAAGAGTCAACTAATTTTATTATAAAGAACTGTCTATTTCTTTAACACCCACTGTTGGTAAACGCATTTATTTATAATTTTAATATACTTAAATAATTTGTTCTATCAATTACATAATCAATTAAATGCAAAGTAAAAACAACAAAGATAATTAAAGAAGTTCATTCAAAATTAAGAGTACTTCAAGTAAGTACAGATGGTAATAAAATCTTTATTTATAATTAATTATTTACTTTAGTAGCATAGATATTCATGTGATGCTGACTGGCTCGAAGAATTATTCTTAAACATTTCGTTTGAAAGATTAACCCAAGGTAGGTATATCATTTCAAAAAGGAATGTATACAGGTCGATACATAGTAATAGAAATCAGATTATAAGACGATCGACAATAAATTAAATTTCACTTTATTGGTAACTAAGCATTGGAAGTATTGTTCCATATCGTTTAGCGGTAGTGTGTAACACAAAAACATTGGAAAATATATCGACCTCTGTTGAATGTTATTCAATAGCTCTTCATGTCACTTATTAAATGTCAAATTGTATTAGATTTGAGCAAAAATATTTTATAAATATGCCACAGATCGAAGTGCAGTAGTTAAAAAAGAAGCTACTGGTATAAAAATTCTGTTAAATTGCAAGGAGTAAAATTTGAACATAGAGTTGACAACATTATGTCAACTTGTACATTTTATATGTTTTATTCATTTCCATAATGATAATTCACATCTTTCATTATTTATATATATAATGTTCGATAAAAAGCGATAGAAATCTAAAATACCTTGTATAGAATCGAATGGATTGAACTGTTTTCTTATCTTTTTTCAGGAGTAAAAATCGATAGAGTTAATAGATAGTAATATTAACGAATCAATACTTTAGTGCTTGTTTCTACAAAGTCACTTCATTAGATTATTACACAACGTTATTCGATCATGTTAATAACACCAATTTATTATTTATCTATATTACTCTGTTTTGGTGAGTTTTATTCAACTCGGATTCTATTAATATAACAATAATTAAATTTCATTAATTAATAATTTATAATAATTACTGTCGATGTCCAATATTAAAACTTTATTTGACAATTAATCAAATGTCTTATCAAAGTCTATTTTTATATTACCTGACGATATATTATGTACTAAAAAAATGCTTAAAATTATTATATAAATTATTTTATTACAGAAAATATAGTTATACAAGGCTTGAGATATAAAGAAAGTATAAACCAAACTGTTGAATTACTAGATATCGAAATACTGCAGCATGACAAATCACTTCCCAAAGAAACTGAATCGAGCGATGTGTTATCGAATTATAACATAGATGGCATCAATACTATGCCAAGTGCAAGAGTATTAATTAAGAACGATGAAATTATTGACAACAAAAAAGGCAATAAAATAAGTAAATTTAAATTTAAAATACCAAATACTATTGTTTTATCATTATATAATAATGATTTTATAATTTTAATCATTTTTAATTTGCTTAATATAATTATGTTCAATTATACTTATTATTATGAATAAGTATAAAATTTAATATTTGTTTCAAATAAGCTAAGAAATATACGTAATATTTAATATGAGTAAGGCTCTTGTATAACTAAAAATATTCAGTTTTATAAAAAAATTTGATTTTCATTTAAATAAACTGAATTCATTATAGTTTTCCTTTTAAATGCATATACAATTGAATTAGTAAATTTTATAGAAATCTGTACATCTATATATTATGAAAAATATTAAATTAATTTAATACTACATGTTATTTTACATAATATAAACTACCATAACGAAATAAAACTAATAAACATGTATATATCTATTAATAGTATTTTATTATATTATAATATGATTATTTTAATATTTTAAAAAATACGACCAATTTTTATTCTTTTCATAATTTAATTCAATTCAATGAAGACATGACTGGTGAAATGACCAAATATAACACCGAAAACGAAGGAATATCAAATAAACTAACTACAATTACTAAAAATCGTCTAAAGTCAACATCTGAAGCCAATAGTAATAATTACAATGGAACAGAAACTTATCTAATTATTGATGGTAGAAATCATTCTTAAAAATTCAATAATGTAACCAAAATGTTAATAACTTTATCAACATTAAGAAGTCGTTAAAAATAATGTTTAGAAACCACATTGTCTGACCTCACAACCGAAGATAACAGTGAAAAAATATCAATAATAATTGTATCTTCATCAGAAACTACATCTACGTTATTCAACAGTTTAATACCCATGAATGATTCTACAAGTATGGAACCATTAACGAAAGAAATTGAGAAAATGTCTTCGGGAATAATAGCAGTGGTAATGGCTATTGTTTTTGCTATCGTTGTAATACTTGTCTACATAGGCCTTTTAATTTGGAGACGCTATCTAGAGTAAGAACATAATTTATTAAAATAAAAATACATTTCACTGAGCAGCATTGACATTTTGGATATTTTTGAGAATACTTCTTACTAATTTAATTCATATTCACTTAATACACAATGAACAAAAAGCATCTATTTATTCATTTTATTTTTTGTTAAAATTCAAAACATCTTAAAAACATTCAGAATACATTTGTATTTTTAATAATACCTAAATAATAAATAATTCCAATTTTTTAATAATTTCTAAAAATTTTCTAACATTTTTTTTTATTTTATAAATAAAATAAAATATCTTAATTACTAACATTTTTATTAATTTTTTCAGATATCAGTATGGCAATCGTGAACTACTTGTTAATGACCTTGAATTTGATACTAACGATCTTCATCATTTTGAGGTAAAATGTTATGTATATAAACAAATTAAAAATTTTAAATAATTTTATACACAAATAAATATTTATTTTCAGCTATGATACATTAATATTTTGTGAATTTATAAATTTTGAAGCAGTAATAGGTACCATAAATTAATCGCTCTGTGATATTTTAAGTGGCTTGTTTATATACCGATAAAAGGTTCTACCAATGTCACATTAGCCAATTTCCATTTATGTTATTGTTAAATAATTAAAAAAGTATCTAATAAAAATATAAATAAATATATGATAAATTATTTATATGAACAAATAATATTACATTAGTAAATTTAAGTATAATAGTAGGTTGTTTTTAAAACTATAATATACTCAATATTCATTCTATATTAAGATTTAATTTTAAATTTCATTGTAATTATACATACACTTTTGTATACTGCAATTAATGGAATATATGTATGTTACTTTTATATATTTATATAACATATATCATTAGATGTACGATTTTATAGAAATTCTTATAGATTAATAACTAAATAACATTTTAAGTATTAAAATTTTTTATTATATATTTATATTATAATTATATAAACAATTATTAAAGATTTAATTATTTAGAAGATTGTTTAATGACAATTTTTTAGAATTCCTTATATACCAATTTACATCAAATGTACCTCCCAATAGACTATGAAAAATAGGTAACATGTACATGACTCTGCTTACATCAATGGTTATTATGAAAAATTACTTTATTTTTAGTTTTTCTTATTAATAACAAGAGGACCTAAATTATCATTACATTTAGAGTTATGACCTGCATGAGAACCATCACAGTAGGGCCACTGCAAATAAGAAATTAAACATTTAATTTAAATTTAATATTTACAATATAAATAATCGCTTTAATATTAATTTATAAATAAATTCGTATTCTCAAATATATGTTTATATAACAATTATCTGATTTTATCTCTTTTTAATATATATTTTTGAAAATTTTCAATTCCTTTTATAATAATCAATGTGTACAAGCACAAATGATGTAAAAGCTTATGTTATTCATAATGAATAAAAATAAATACAATATGAGCAAAAAAAATTAATTCAATTTATTTTATATTACCAATATTTTATTTTATACATTTAAAAAAAACTTTTTATAAACTGAATTATATATAATATTCGTTATAATTTTGTATAAATAAAATTCTTTGTTTTTTAGATTTACTTAGTATTAAATTTCCAATTAAAGATTTATTATTATTAAAGCTTTAGAAAAAAAAAACTATAAAGAATAAGTGACATTCCTTGTATATTTAAGGATTATTGCTTATAGTGGATTAAATTTGAAGTTGATCAAATTGACATTTTAATAATAATAAAAAGGAATATTTTTAAACTTTCAATTATGTTTAATCGATTTCAATTATTCTTGATTGAAATTTATTATATAAATTGCAATCAAAAAAATTTTATTTTTAAAATTCATATATTTAATTTTTATAAAAATTATCAATATTAATGGAATGCAATGAAGGTATAATGAACGATAAAAATTTTTTTGAAAGTAATAAATAAATATATAAATTTTATTCTACTTACATTTTTGGTTTTCCAGCAACGGCAAAAAGCAACATTTTCAGTTATATTTTCAATGTCTAATACATCAACAACTTTATTATTTAATAATTTTATTTTGGAATTAACTCGTTTACAATTCTATAAAAATTAACTAATTAGTTTCAAGGTAATTTTTATGATTTTTATGATTTTTTAATGTTTTTGCATGCAGCTACTTACTCCTTTTCTAGCTTTTGGACAGAAAGATAGGTAGGACATATACCCAATTCCTACAAGTACAGCAGTCGGTGGAATTAATGAAAACCAATCTTTTACTAAAAAGAAACAAATAAAATTGGTATTATTATTTATAAAAGAGTTTGGGTATTATTAGTTCATGGTGCAATTATTTGACCCATTATTTCTTTAATAAAAAAAAGTTCACAAACAGTTCTTTAATAATAAAAAAATTGCCAGTTAATATGATTTATAAAAAAAATATTTACCTCCTAACTGAAACCACCCTCCAATCGAATCAGGAATTGGTAAATTAGATAAATAGTTTGGCACAGATACTTTTACAAGATGTGCAATAGGCTCCATGTTTATTATTCGTGACTAGATGATCAAACGAACAACTAGAGAATCAAACGTTCTAATTATTCGGATAAAATTTTATACATTTTTAAAATAGTTCATTTGTGAGTAAAAAGACAAATGTTCGCAAAATTTACATTAGATAAATCATAAATGCAATTAATAATTTTTTAAAATAGATAAGTATTGAATGATAAGGAGATAACTAAAATCAATAAGTAATATTTGTTATTAGTTTATTCATAATTTCATTTATATATATCAGAAAAAATTTTGAACAAATGCTACGGTTCTAAATATTGCATATGCAAATATTAAATTAAAACGAATACCTAATAAAATAGACAAATAAATGTTCATGTAATGAACGATACATTTTCTAAAAAAAAAAACAATTATTCTCAACATTTATATATTTAAATGAAGTTAAAGTTTTTAATTATACCTGATATAATAAAAATATGAAATTTTAACAATCATAAAAGTATTGTAAAAAATCTGTAAAATTATTCCCAATTCCTCGTCTCATATTTAAATCGTAAATAATTTTGGAACAGTTTCTATATCACAGATGTACAGGAATGCTTGAGGTGGAATAAAATGACACATCTCTAATAAACCGACTATGTATAGCTTTACAAATAAATGTATACCAACAATGTCTATATACTTAACGACGATATAAAAAAAGCAATTGGAACCTAATTTTTTAATACCAAAGTCATAGAAATTTCATCAAATTCATTCGCAACCTACAAGATAAACGTCTTTTCAGATTAGTTGGTATTCCAATGCGCCTATTTTCTTTTTTGTCATGCTTCCGTTTTAATAAAATTAAATAGAGGAATATTGTGGAATAGAAACGCCTTTGAATATGGAATCAATATGGGTTGGACATTTCATTATTAACCTGTGGTGTAATCGATTCACAACAAAGTTTTAATGAAATTAATTTTATAAATTTATTTTAAAGATTGCATAAAGTATAGAAAACAAAACTTGAGAAAAATGTATATATATATATATGTTATTATTGATAAAAGTAATAAAAAAAAAAAAAAAGTGTAATATATGGTTATCGTATATTTATTTTGCCAGCATTTACATAATTACACATTACTTCTAATTAATTATATTTAGATTTAATAGCATACTTTTACTTTGCAAAAAGTAAGTATACTAATCCATGAAGTACTTAAAATTTAAACATTTATAGAAATGAATATTTACTAAAGTTCTTTTTGTTTTTTCAATTTTATATTAACTAATTTGATTCTGAAAAACTGTGTATAATGTCTGTGATGTAGAAAATTGTAAAGAATTATGCAGTTATAACTAATTACTGATGAATACTGAAGTTTTCAAAACTTTTTCAAATTATTATAAAATTTATTTTAAAAAAAGATTTTTTGTGCCGCTTTGTTAATAACAAAGAATGTGAATTAAAATATGCAATAAATAAAATAAATAAAATAACATCAAAATTAAAATTTTAAGATAAGAGTATTTGAAAAATATTTAAAAGAATATAATAACAATTCATATAATCAATTATCACCTACTATTATTACAAAAAAACAATTTTTTTTTATTTTTATTCAAATATAAGAATAATTCATGCTTATTTTACTTTTTTATATTGTATATAAAATAGTAATCAAAATATAAAATTTTTACTTATAGCTTCAAATGCATATTATATATAAAAAGAAATACCAACATCTAATATCGTAGATATAAAATATAAATAATTTATATTTTCAGCAATAACATATACAGAAAAGGATAACTTAAATATTATGATATTTATTAGCAGTCCTCTTATACCATTAATTATGTGTTTAAATATTAAAATGATTTCGTTATATGTGTAATATTTGTAAAAATTAGACTATTGATTTTTCAAATTCTATATATGGTATCTACACCAAATTTTCTAAAAGTTTATACTTATAATTTTAATTAACATATCAAACTTTTATTTATTACTTTTTATATTTTAGTATTTTAAGGAATCCTATGTTAAACATATTTTTAATGGTTTACATAAATTGAGCACACACATTTTGTATTATTTGATCTCTAGCACTAAAATTATATATATTTAATTGATTTAAATAATATACTTTAAAAAATCTTGCGTATTATTTTGCAATGTCCAGCAATTTTTAAAAATGTTTCTATAACAATCTATAATAAATCTTTATTGATTATTTAAAAAGAATAACAATCAAGCATTTTTAATACTAAACAAATAATGACGCGATTTTTTAGGTATTGACATTTTTTCATCATTATTGCTTACTATTCATGACTCTTTATGCTATTAAGATTTAATTTATTATTTTGTAATTTTACTTTAGGAGACAAATAAGTATAACTAGTATTTACAACTGATTAAATGGTGCGATTGAAAATTTGTCACCTATGAAGCAGGCAATTGACTTTAGCATGGTCACCTCTTATTTATATCCACAATATTTCCCCTCCTTGTTATATTTGAATTCTAATTTTGAAGTAATTGACATTCGCTGTAATTATGAGTCGATAGGACAGATTTATTGTGCTCGAACAATTTTATTTAAACCATCAGTGACTAGTTATACTCGTTTTTGGTATGCGTAAGGTGAAGGGCCATCCCTTCCCTCGCCCGCATACACATACACACTCGCATGCATGCAATCCATTAGCAACAATAGTATGATGGAGCCGGTCTCTGCGGGTAGCGCCATCGTTACACGGCAACGTCACCTTTAGCATTTCGTTAGCTGAATGCCATTAGCAGCAGATGGCGCAACTCGCGAATCTACAAAATGCAATGAAACGTGCAGAACTCACAAGTCTCAAATTTCAACTAGTATCGTTCGTAATAACTCGTATAATTTTCAATAGAATAGTTGTCGATGACTAACACTACGTCATGCTCTTCCGGCAGCGTTTGCATATCGGAGTAAATTTTAGAGATCATTGAAGTGTTTATAAAGACGTCTTCGAGTGAAGCCGTACTCGTATGTCACGCATCAACAACAGAATTAAACGTCAAAAACAAGTGCACAATAACGTTAAATTAACATCAGCAATAGCAGCAGCAATCGTCGCTTATCCCCTCCGTTCCGTTAATCAATCCGCTACGCTAATCAACTGGCCTAATCCGGGTTTTAGAAGATATAGACGAGGGATGTGGCAGGCCGGGAATGGCGTTAGTGGCGGCCTCCAAGCGGCGGAACTCCATGGGAGCCGGCAGCTTTGGAGAGCAACCCTTCGTCAGTGACTCCGGACAGCGCCAGGAGCGGGCGAGCCCGTCTTCTCCGCGGCGCTCGCGTTAAAAAGGAAAGCGTGCGTGCCTCCTCCACCTCTCAACCTTTTCATTAGTGCCCTCAAGTGTGCGTATCGTTTGCTAGCGGCCAAAGAAAGGAGAGTGGTGAACAGAAAGAGATTCATTAAGCGAGTGAGTGAGAGTGATAGAGCGAGAGAGCTCGAGGGCGAAGGGGGGTCGAGTTCGAGCAAGAGCAGGAGAGGAGGCACTCTCCCGAGTCCTTATGCGCGTCCGCCGGTTTACGCACAAACTAGCACACGCAGGCGTTTCCTCCTTGTAAGGAAACACGCAGGATCTAGTGTTTCGCTTTCGTGCGCTAATACTTAGAGGCCCTCTTGGGGGAGGCGTACAAGCTTCAAGCTGTGTGCGTTTTATCCTATTCGAGCTGCGGGAAATTACATCGGAGCCGGAATTCGGGTGCTTGGAACCCGTCCGAGGAATCGATGTCTAAGCTGTGAGTAAACGAGGATCATGGCCGAGGAGCTGTTGGTTACATTGAACCGCAGTGACTCTACGGGCTTCGGCTTTTCGCTGCTCGGCACCGCCAGTCTGCCGCACGTCATCTATGATATCGTCGAGAACTCGCCCGCGGCCGAAAGCGGGAAGGTAAGCTTCGACAATCTGCAAAACCAGTCAGCATCAGCCCATCCATCCCCTCTCTTACGACCTTCATCGTTCATGCGCGCCCTTCGTATAGATTCGCCTCGAGGGCGAGAGCTCTCGAGCTATTTGGAAGTTTCCGCGTGCGTCTGACAAGAGCAGCCGGTATCGACCCGTTCCCCGTTTATATCACTTTAATACGCGGAACATGCGCTTTCTGGCTTTCCTATTATTTTCTTGGCTATGAGAATCCGTTACCTCGGTAAAGTTGTCTGTCCTATTACTTCGATGTTTGGTGGCTTGTACAAGCATGTTTGCTGCACTTGTAGTTAAGAGTTCAACGTAAATGTTGTTAAATATAATTTTTTTCGTCTTCGTTTTTGTTTTTGTTTTTTGTTTTTTATTTATGCTTGAAAAGATAATGTTCCAATGTGTTTACGGCAATAAATTAGCAAAGTGCCAGACAAATTCTTTTATAATACAATGGCCCTTTAATTGTCCTTTAATGAACATCTTTTAATGCATCTCGTTTTTCAATTTGTAGTGCAGGCATATGATAAATAGGTTATGTTTTCTGTATCATTAGAGACTATTCAATTAAATATTATTGAAGCTTGTAGAATTTTCTTCGAAATTTGAAAATAAAGTTTCATACAGTTCCTAAAATGTTTTTAACATATAACAGTCGACCACCACACTTTCACCAGCTTCTTTTATATACAAAAGTAAAAAACATTTGAACATGTATTATTGTATATTTTAATATTTATATAATCATCTTTTGATTTATTTACACGAGCATTGATTATTCTTATTGTAGATGTTAGGAATTTTAATTTTCGTTTGCTTCAAATATTTAATATTTATTATTATTAATTGAATAAATCTATCTATTAAGTATGTATATAATATATACATATACTATGCAAATATCTATGTATATTACTATGCATTAAGCAGTCACAGTATTTTCTTTTAGTTTAATATATCTATACATTTGAATATCATGATTTAATTGTACTACAATTATTCGTCTTTATATAAAACGTTAAATCATTTATTATTCTATAATGACATAATGAAATTATTATTACATTTATTTTTATTTTATTTTAGTTATTTATAGTGCCGAATAATGTATTTCAAAATATTTAAACTGGATAGCTTTCTACTAAAACAATTTATATTATTAAAAAATCTAGTATGTAATAGTAAAATACAGTAGTCAATAATAAATTATTTTATGTCAAATTACTACCTTTTCTTATATTCTTATCGTTATTATTAAGACTATTAAACAGCAGTTATTTTTTAAATTATCAAAAATGTATATATATTCTTAAGAACATATTTATTCTATCCCAAGCATAATAATTTATATTTATATATAAAATTTCATACTAATTCGATATAACTTTGTGTTTCAAATTTTTACTATTTACCTTTGGTATTTTGATGTTCTATCGAGATGTATTAATATATTTCACGATTAGTTTACGATCAACATCTTGTCGTTTGCTATATTTATTCCATGTAAAAATGTTAATGTGTATTTATATTAAATAAACAGTAAAATTTCGTTTGAAGGAAGAATTAAACCGATTACTATTGCGATTTAATCATTGTTACGAAACTCTCCAACCTGGTATAACCACGATTAAGCAAATCAAAATTTTTTAATTTCCATTATATTTGTTAAGCTTTAACTATTCACTAGGAAATATTGTTTTATTATGAATAACTGCTTTATAATCGATTCCTAATTGACATTTTGTATGCTAACAAATTTATTTAACAGTTGCAGAAACGCTACATAAGTATCAGATTCATGGAATAATTGCTGTAAAAATTTATAGCTGAAATTAAATATTTTTACAGGAGTAGCTAAAACCTCGGGTGAATATATTTTATACCTGTTCACAGAAGGGCGCTAAAAAGTTTAAATTACTGTTATGAAATTTCAATTATATTTAAATATAATAAAGTAATCATTATTTAGTGAAACCTGATTAATCTATCTTCTCGTGAGAAAAATAATTAGTTGGAATGCAGATAAAGTAACGGAAGAAACACTTGTAACATTATGAAATTATAAGGTATCATAATGCATTAATTGAGAATTATTTCACTAGTAAATTTAATATTGAAAGCTACCTTATCTCCTTCGATAAAGAAGTTGTTATCACGTTCACCATTATTAATAAATGTACTTACCGTCGTGCTCATGAATATTACTTTTCCTTTTACAGTAGAAAAATTGCATGCAAATTAAAAATAAAATTACGAGTGAATTTATCAAATACAGTATTTGTCTAAAGGGTAAACTATTTATCCTTTTGAATTGATGAATTTAGATTTATATTTATGGGCATACTCAGTCCTAGTTTAAAACCAACCGTTTATCGTTTTTCATACTTTCATTCTAAGATAAATCATTATAACAACATACCTTTTCGAAGCTTCCTGATTCATTCTCCAAATTTATACTTAGATGCCCAAGAATATATAAAATAAATTGTATTAAATTATAAAATATGTCTAATAGTATAAAATATGTCTAATTTTATAATTTTCAATTTGCAATATTTTCATATATTGAAATACATTACATTCTAGTTTTAATAATGTAACGATTATAATTATAGAAGAGTCATATCATCCTAGTGCATTGTTCAGTAATGCAAAGAATTAAATCCATATCCTTTGACAAATGCGAGTTCAAAAGCCTTGTTGATTTTCATGAACTTTTTGTTCTATATTTATGCGTATATAAAAATTCATTACTTCGACGTCTGGAAAACCACGTGCATAACATGCTGTCCGTTATATCGTCACATTAGTCAATCTTACCTGACTTCGTTACTTCGACTCTTTCTCTCCGTATCTCCCTCCCTCTCTCCCACCCTCCTTCATTCTGTGTGTATTTAATGTGGAAGGTTACTAAAGAAAATATAACGAACATTCCTTATTTTAGACAGTTGAAAAAAATACTAATATTATTATAAATTTCTCATGAACCAATTACTTAAAGATATGTAAATTACTTTTTTATAAAGTTTTAAATTCTAATAAAAAGAAAAATAAATTCAATCCAAATTTTATTAAAAATTAAAATATGCGTTATAAATAGTCAAACTTCAATTCTTTGAGTAATTAAATTTTTGTCTTAGATATTAAAAAATACAAATTACGATTATTTTTTAATTTAAACTTTTTTATTTTTAAGATTCATTACTTGTTATAATATAATTGTCTATATTATTCATTCAAATTATTGTTACGTTAAACAATGACAAATTTTTAAAAGTTTTAATAATACTAAATTGATTTATGATATTACTAATAATACGTATCAATTAAAGCAAATTAAAATAATTTAAAATATATTTTAATAAAAATCAAATAAAAACATACATATCATTAGATTAACAATAATAAATTATTAAATATTTTTAATTCTCTCAAAAAACATGAAATTTAATAGAGAAATCTTAAATCGATGAATTTAATTAGAAAATTACTATTATTTAATTAATTAGTAAGTAAATTCTAGTTGTGAAAAAATTATTTTTAATAATAATAAAAATATATGAATCACATTGATCTCTTATAGACATTTTAACATGATAATTTGATGAGTCTACACATTCACATATCTTTACAAGTAATAACTTAAAATTGATCAAAGAAAATAAAATAAACGGCTTTATTAATTATAAAACTACCTAAAAATAATTAATTTTCGTATAATAATTGCTGATTTACTATTAATTTAACATTTAATTTTTGTAGGTTTAGTAATAGTAAAATCAATAATAATACATTTTAGTGAAGAATTCTATTTCAAAGATAGATATAGTTATTCATAAATTTCATATATTAATTAATATAAATTCGAAGATTTTTAATATAAAATGACATTTATAATGGTTTTTACTTACATTTTAACAATTTATGAATTTATATGTTTATAACATATTATATGATAAACAATTTAAATGTTTTAAAACGAACGATAAAGAAATTATTCATCAGAACATATGTACAAAAAGCTTATGAATAAAAATCGCAGCAGTATTTTAAATGTTAAAAAATTTTAAGTTAATTAAACGATTTATATTATAATAATTTTATATTATCAAATATTTTAAAACATTAAGAGTTCATCTATACATGAATTTTGTTAATGAAAAATAAGGAATTTTTACACTGTTAGCCTACATAATGTATGTTTACAGACATAGGTTGATTAATTCGCTTTTAATATTAATATAATTAATAATAGAATTTTTAATAAATTGATATTTTATGTAATTTAAATAAATAGAATTTGATTTATGCGCTATGTTTTGGAATATATAAAACAGGTATAATATTTATTCACATTTTTGCTAATTAATTTAATGTTATTTCTTCTGTATTTATATTTGATATTAATGAATTGCACTATTTTTCGACCGGAGAATTATAATGTTCCTCTGTCGCATTCAATGGTGTGTAACATAAACACGACGTCATTCAACACTAAAATTTTTAACATAAGTATTTCATTTTGTTAAAGATTATTAATTTCTATAGTGTTTACATTTTATAACCTTCTCATTATGCTAGTGTTTACATACACCTTCTACACGTGTACACAAGGATATCATGTACCATATAGCGATATTCAAGATATCATGTACAATATATCAGCGTTAATATCAGGACGTGGAAGACTTTATTTTCATATTTATGAAAAAATAATATATAAATTTTAAAAAAATTATTGGTAGATCTCTAATTTTATATTTAAAATATTAACGAAATTACTTTAATTATATTATTTATAATTATTAAATGAAAGACTGAACAGAAACATTTGCCTAACACTGTTGTAAATGAGATTTAGAATTATATTAATAATTTCAATTTGATTGAAATAAATAATACTTAATTATATTTAAATAAACATTACATGTAAAATAAGGCAAAGTATCTCGAATTATTTCAATAATATGTATTAT